GTTTTCTTTGGCAAGCTCTTTTTCCAATATTATAAAATCATCCCTAAAACTGGCATACAATTTTACCAATGGCCAAAAACGCGCTTTCGATCTTTTAAAGCAAAATACACTTTTTATTTGGTAGGAAATCTTCAATTGATTCTTGATAATAGTTTTATTTATTAAATATGAATACAAACTTCTAACAATTATATAATACAACGGCACTCCAATCCTGGACTAATCCTTACAACAGGTTTTTCAGTCCCATCGCCAAAAGCAGGATCATGGCGCCCAACGAGACCTGCAACCTAGTGCTTCCATTGCACTTCTCAGTCAAGCAGATGTCGCACTGATCGGCAGAGTCGTCTGTTATTTCAAGTTTATTCCTCACAGCCTGGCAGGCTGATTCGTTTGTGGGCACCTTAATACAACCACGGTAAATCACTTTTTGGGAAAGATGAAAAAAATTGGTTCATTTTAGTTCCATAAACTTTTGAATGTAAGCTATACGTCTTTTTGCTTTAAGGTGAATTAAAACAAAGACTCACCTCCTTCCTTATAGGCGCTGTAGCAGGCGGCAAGCTTATAACTAATAGGGGGAGAAATTGTAGTGATTTCGGTTGTAGAATCACTTGTAGAATCAGACGTGGAATCGGTTGTAGAGATGCTGCTAGAATCGCTGCTAGAATCAGTTGTAGAAGAAGACGTTGTGGAATCTGTGGTTGTAGAAACAGTAGTAGATGAGGTATCGGTGGTTGTGGAATCGGTAGTCGATTCTGTGGAGTCGACTGTTGTGGAAACGGTGGAAGAATCTGTGGTTGAAGAATCAATCGTAGTTGAAGATTCTGTAGTTGAGGAATCGGTTGTAGAATCTGTGCTTGAAGAATCACTTGTAGTGATAGTTGAAATGGAAGTAGTAGAAGAGTCGGCGGAGTCGACAGTTGTGGAATCGGTTGAAGAATCTGTGCTTGAAGAATCACTCGTAGAGGTAGAAGAAGAATCTGTCGTTTGGACCGTTGTGGGAGCACTGGACGAAGATGAAGAATCACTCGTTGAGGTAGATGATGTATCTGAAGATGAAGATGAAGAATCTGTGGATTGGTCAGTTGTGACAGACGACGAGTCCGTGGAAGAATCAGTGCTGCTAGAATCAGTGGTTGGAGAATCAGCATTCGTAGATCCTGATGTAGAATCGCTTGAAGAATCTGTGACTGCGGATTCAGCTGTAGAAACCGATGAAGAGTCTGTGGTTGCTGCTGTGGAATCATCCTGTTAAATAATTATTCGTTTGATTATATATTTTATATGATAGATCTTAGATCTTACGAAAGCTTCAATGTCTTGTTGCCGCCACATTGGAGCAGACCGCCTGAATCGATTTATAATGTCACTTGTATCCAATACAACTGCTGCAGAGTCATCAACACTGCAAGTTTCTACTGGCACATTTTCCTTATGGCATTCGTCTCCAACACAATTGTAGCATTGCAGGGCACTCGCTGGAAATAAAAGTGGGTGGCAGGTGAGTCAGTGGGCGGGTGAGGGGGAGGGGCTGAGTGCTCGAAGGCCGAACGAGATAAAATTCGTCGGTCGAGAGCAGGCAATAAGTCTGATTGATAAATCAAATACGAGATAACATCGGCACGGTTGCCCCACCACGCAAATCGGACAACTTTCTACACTCACATCATGGGCTTTTTAGGTTAACCTACTTGAATTCGTTCCTTATCGGATAACCTTTCAACTTGAAGTTTGCTCCCTGTTTTATCTAGACCACGGCTGTATGTATAAATATATAAAATAAATGTGCTGTGCTTATTTCATTTAATTTACTAACCAATAGTAGGTTAATCTTGTGAGAAGGCAGCTAATGCACACACAGTGATGTTGTTATCATTTAATTCTATGAATCAAGATACCAATTTTCAGGGAAAGTTCCAATTTTTAAATTTTTTAATAACTAAAATGAATCAGATAAATTGGTAAATTCGGTACTTCAAATAAATAATAAACTTTAATAAATTTATATATTTTAAACATTTTTAAATTCTGGATATAAAAATTATATGCCAAACATTTGAAAATAGAATAAAACAAGTTTTCTTGAAAGACAAGTTGAATTTTTAAATTATTATAGACAAAAATGCCTCTAGTTCGTTAAAACTCAATTAAAATTCGATCCTTATTTAAAATTTGAGAGCTGAAGGGCAGTCCAAATGTTTTAGAATAAATATTTTACGGACTGTTTGAATTTTGACCTTTTTTTGAACATTAAAAAACAGGTTTTTGATAATCTGCTCCTTTCAATTTTTTATAAAGTAAGTAAATATATTTTTTCTTCATTACTTGTAGGCTCTGAACATTTTGTTAAAAATATGTTGGTGGCCACAAAACTAATTTCAATAATGGAACTGGCCATGGCTCTAGTCTTGACTGGAATTCGATGTCGACACGGCTGATAAGAGCCAAAGTTACTTTTCTTTCGCCTAACTATAACAGTTCATACATTTTAGGTAAATTCCGTTTGTTCGTCTAACGCGCGATTAATCAATCAATAATTTGAAATTCCGCATTATTCAATCAGGCACTTTGAAACAATGTGATAAACAAATCCAACCTGGCCAAATGGTGAAGGAGGCACAAAATGCCATCAGCAAAAATTTAACCGTGATCAGAGGCATTTTTCCTTTTCTTTTCGACCGAAAGGATATAAAACGAATAGATTTTTATTTTAACGAGGATCAGAGCGTATGAAAGGCAAGAATCGCACTGCACGACGGTTGAATGGTTACTACCAATTAAATATAATGTTAACCTGGCTTTTTTATCATTTTCAGTCGCTGATAACGAAGGCAGCGGAAAAGCAGAGCACTCACGCACTGGCATGGTTTAGGCCCACTTTTTAGGTTCGTCTTCCTGTCGGAATGGTTGGCCCAATAAAAGTGAATTGCCTCGATAAGGAATGTGAAATCCAGGGGATACACTTCCTCAGGATGCCCGGTTATTGGCTTTTTATGGCCGGTTATGTGGCCAATTGCGATGTTCATCTACTTGGTACCGAGAACTGCCTGCTTATCGAAACGATATCAGCTAACTGCATTATTCAATTTATCAGGGGTCTTAGACCCCTTTGTTTTCCTTTTTTGGTTATTGATCATGGGAGAAGCCCATTATATTGCACTTTTGATTTGAAAAGAATTGTCGCTTTTTTTTTAGCACTTTCTGTTTCTTTAGAGTCTAGACCCATTGGCATAGGCAATCTGCCAACTTATTGCTTGCTTAGCAATGTCTGTGGGCCTGCAGAAATCTAATCAGTTGGGATCCATTTCTAATCAGCCCGATCCATTTAAAACTTTTCCCGGCTTTATTGTGTCTTTGCCTGAGTAATAAGCCTTATTGTTTGTATAAATTTGTGTTTGAACTTTGCAACTATAAACACTTATAAAAATTAAGCGAAATGCTATTTATTCCTCCAATTTTTCTGATGAAACTAAAAAAAATTTACTTAACATTTTAAAATGATTTAGAAACATAATGAGTTACAAAAAATATAAAAGGTTTCCCTTTAATATCAATAAATAATGTTTTGTAGTAAATAATTTTAATTACATTTGTTATATTTAAACATGAAATTCCTAAAATTATAAAAATTTCTATTTACAATAAAATTAAAAAAAATTTATATTAATATCTTACTTTTTTTTCTGTAAGTGCAAAAAACCTAATTCATTTGGCGAATTCCGAGCTCTGATAAATAAATACCATTTAATACATATATTAAGGATGAGTCATGCATTTTCAGTGTGGTTAAATAACGATTTATATTATACATATGTACATTTATTTATCATGATTCATATTATTTTGGACAGCTGCCTAATAGATGAGCACCAAAGTTTTCGTAACTTGGTGTACTTTTTTTCGGACATTAGAACTTTGAACATTTCATTGTATGCTTGTGACCTGCGCAATATTATAGATTATTATTTAATATGTTTCTTTTTCACAAGTTGCCTTTGTTGAAAAAAAACGATTACAAGTGATACAGTAGACTAATCTATTTTAACACTATCGTTGATAGACTTAGTTCATAATCTAGTGACGAAATTCTGAGAAATAGTCATCATGTCTATTGGTTTTGATTACAGCTTTTATCAATTCGTCCAACATGCAGGTCAGTACTAATGTAAAAAGTTATTTTTTCTATTATAATCGGTTGAGTTCTGAGATAAGATCAGATAAGGCTGAGTACCAGTTAGTAGCGGACTTTCGTAAGGTGGCGTTAAATAGTTTTGTTGGACTTATCAATCACTTTATGGTTGTATTTATTTGGCGCTATAAAATCAATAATTTGATTACGCGTGGCCGCATATTTATTTCCTTTGGTGTTTTCAAAAGCCTTCCCAAATGTTAATAAAATCTTATCTTATCAATGAGAAACTTTTGTTGTTGTGTGTTTGATTTCCGTTTCTTATTTTGTCTTTGGGCTTGTCTTAAGCAAATTTGTTTAGCATAAACGGCCTAAAAGTATGCCTCCGCCTATTTTCAACGTCGATTGTTTGCTCAACAAATGAAATCGTACCACTAGGCGTATACGTGATATTGGCATTGGTAGTGCAAAGCGATTACTTCGTCTATATTTGTTTTATGCATACAATGTTTAGTTTGCAGGAATCTGATCATATGAATGTTTTTAACAGTTATCTGTTTTTAATAGAGTTATTAAGTTTCTGAATCAATGGTGGAATTTGCTAAAATATTTTTGTTTGTGTTTAAATTGTATAACTTTGAATGATGCCGGATATGAACACCACTTATCTTCCCCAATAAATGAGGAAAACCGTATAAAGTTCTTGGAAGATATTAACAGAAATTATTATTATTGAAGATTAGATTTGCTGTTTTTATTATGTGCTTGTTGCCAAACCAAAAAATTATGAGACATTTGTTAGGATGCCATATAGCTTTCTAAGTGTGTATAAAAATCCCTTGTGTAATAAAGATTCCTTTTTTCTTGATTTAAAAATTACATATTATTTATTAAGTCGCCTGAAGCTTAACATTTGGTTAGATTAAGTTTGTATACAATTACAGTTGTATATATTTCGATATTCGGTTGTGTGTGCATGTGCGTTTGTGTATATCTTAGAATTATATAAATTTTCGAATCACTTAACAATGAGCGCGGACTGATGAGTGGGTGTTCGCCTCAAAGAAACGAGGAATACTAGAATAAAGCACCGGGTGATAGATGATGATCTGGACCCTAGTTGCGCTGCAGGGCAAAGGCCACAAAGGCCAAAAGCAGGGAGGCCAGGACGGATTTCTGAAGCGTCGATCCTCCATTGCAGGCATTCATACTGCAGGGATTGCAGTTGGCCTGCTCCGTGTTGTTGTTCTGGATCTTCAACTGCTCGCAGACACCCTCAAAGGTGCTCACCCGGGAGCAGCCACGATCTGTGGTCATTGAGCCGTTCACTATGTGAATGAAAAGGAGTAAATAGGTTAGTTTTGCTTAAAAAAATTGCATCTAAAAATACAAAAAATAGCAGAAATTCGCCTTAGGCTAAGTTTATCTCTTCTTACACTCTTTAAAAAATTTCTGAGATATTAAAAACAAATTTTTATTTGCTTTTAATGGTATTTAAATTGTGCAAACATGATGAGATTAAGAAAAAGTGTAAATATTTTGTTTTTAGTATAATTTACTTTATTTATACTTAATGAGAACTAATTTATGATAAAAATAAATAAAGAAAACAAATGGTAAAGCATTTTGTGTACGAAAGAAATTTAAAAATTAAATTAAATTATTAAAATGAAGTTGTTAATCGTTTGCTTCCCCGATTGAAGGCGAATTACTGATTTCAAAGCATTCTTAAAAAACTCACCTGTAACCTCGACGGAATAGCAGTGATAGGTGTATCCGGTGTCGATCACTGATCGCCGCTGCCTGACGGCCAGAGGGAGAGGGAGGGAGGGGGTGGTGGTCTCCGCCTCCACCGGCACCAGGCGGGTGGTGTTCAAGGCCACCGCCAGAGCAGCCAGATCCTCGTTGGGTGGCGTGGGCACTCCGGTGGTCGTCTCAACGGGTCCGGCGGTGGGTGGCGTGGGAATGGGGGCCTCAGTGCTCTGGGTACTCTGGGTACTCGGGATAGTTTCGGTGGTCAGCTCAGTAGTGGTGGTCTCCACTGTGGTAGTAGTGGACTCCGTGGCTGGTGGATCCGTCTTAACACTTGTGCTCGTAGTGGTTGTCTCAGCTGGAGTCACTGTGGTTTCCTGCGAAGTGGTGGTGCTCGCTTCGGTGGTTGTGGTGGTGGTCACTGTGGAGGCTTCTGTGCTGCCGCCAGTATTAAAGAAATCCTCATTGCAGGCCAACAGGGGTGCATCCTTGGGCAGCTGGGCACAATCGTCACACACATAGCACATGAGATCGGCGCGAATTACTGAAATTAAAATTTAAATTAATATTCAGCGTACTTCAAACCATAAAATTATATGCTTAACTACTTTTCTTTCCATTATCATATCATTATAAATAGCTCGAAAGCCATATAAATCGACCTAAATACAAAGCCTTAGGGTCTGTTTATAGACTCATATAAGCAATTTGGTTTTATGTCTTATTTTTTATAATGCCTAATTTGAAGTTGACCCAAATTGGATTGCTATTTTTTGATTTCAAGGTATTCGTTAAATATAATACAATTTTTAGGAAACTTTCTCATACACAAACTAAAATCCTTGAGAGTTTTAAATAAATATTATAAAAAAACAACAATAAAATATATATGGTAGATATAAGGAAATAACTAGCTCTTTATTGGACCTACTTTTGCACACCTTTTCGGGTTTTCCCCATTTATCGTGGATAATTGTTATATTTTGCCAGGCCTTGCCCTTCGCATACATATTTTATTGGACGCCAAGATATCTATCAGTTAAAAGTGCTCACTTTATAGCTTTGGCAAATATAGAAACCGTGATAGTCGATAAATGATGACAACAAGAACAAAAGAACATGTGAGCACCATAAATCAATTTAAATGCAAAGTATTTGCCGTATTATTTGCCGATTCTTTAGTATTAGTTTATAAGTGCCCTAGCATAGCCTTTGATCAAGCGCAAGTAGCCGTTTTTATCTGATTTTATACCGGCGCACTCCCACAGAAAATCGATTCCATTTGCATGTTATCGCCATCGGAACAACTAGCAAATATTTGCCATAAGCAAACAGGTGAGTAGACAAAACATATGGGCATGGGTACACTCGCATAATTGCGTTAATTGTCTTATCGCTGGATGCGGATACACCCCCTCAACCAAACCGAATTATCAGTGGAATAGTGAGTCATCTCAATTGACAACTACGATAATCCGATAAGGTAGTAAATCTCCACTTGACGGGTTTTCATATGATAGCATCGATATCGATATCAAACTTGGTGCCAAAAATAGGCGATATTAACCATTACCATTCGCTTGCTTTCATGACTTATTTATCTTTTCCCAACGCTACAAGACTTCAAATCTTTAAATATATTTTTAAAAGGGTTCCAGGGTTCCATATAATCGTCACCATCCTATATAACAATCAAATGCTTCAATACATCTCTGCCTAACTTTTGTTGATTTATTATTTTAAATTTATCATAAATCATTCTGATTGATGGGCAAGTTTTGGGGGCTGAAGGCAGGTCTTAAATTCTCCAGGGTAATGACAGTATTGTTGGGTTTTTAACTTTAATGGCACGTGATAAGCGCCACCTCGCCGCACCATTTGGATTTTTTGCACTTTTGACTTTCTCATTAATAAGAAACATTTGGTTTTAAGTGTTATTATTATTTTCGCATTTAAAACAAAAGGCAGCTCAGAAGTTTATTGCCATTTTTGTTGTTGTTGTAAAAGCAAAGGTGCAACTGGTTGGGTATATATTTACTTAGGTAAATCAATAAAAATCCCTGTTGATGCAAATGCTGTTTGTGCAAATGTAATTGAAAATCATTTAAAATGTTTAAGTCAAAGTTAGTTCCAGACGATTTCTTTTTTTTTTCCCCCTTTAAATAGGGACAACAAGTTTCACAGATGCGAAAAATGTGGGTATTTCCAAGTCACTTTAAATAGATATATACGTAACTCTTCTCGACTCACAAATTAAATCATTTGCAATTGCGTCAAAAGATCGCGAACAAAAAATATCGAAAATTCAGGTTTTATGCGGTTATTTTCTGAGTTGGTGCTAATGGCCAGACAAGTTTTTCCATTTCGGGCCCGCTGCTGCAAAATGTGTTAAGTGTAACTATAACATTTCCAATTAGCAGTCGCCAGCTCAATGTCAACTAATATTTGTTCATTATTCTCCATTTCCCCAGCTGACTTTTCCTTTTCATCTGAGGCATAAATTAGAGTGGACCGAAAACGATTTTGAAGGGTGGGAGCTGACTGGTTGGATGACATTTCCGCATCACAGAGCGATAAAAAAACAAAATCCGCAAATTGGCAACAATCTTTGCATTATTTATGACAGTTAAATAATAACAAATAAATTGAGCATTTTAAATGTCGCCATTGTCGCCGCTGCTTGATATGCAAAATTTTATGGCGAAATGCTCATGATCTTGAATTCTGAATTAATTTGGTTGCCTTTTTTTTGTTTTTGGCAACTGCATATACCGAACGAACACTTAAGACACACGAGTTTATATTTTTAGCGGCAGCCACAAATTAAAATCCTCAAGATATGTTTATCAGATCGAATGATTCCGATTCCTTTGCCTGCTATCTGATACACCTATGATTTAGACCGTTTAAGGTGAAATAAGACACATCAAAGTTATCACGACACTTTTCACGATATTCTAATGGCCTCAAATACCCAAAATGCTTTTTACCTGGCAGGGCGATTAGCAACAGCAAAGAGCTGGCCAAAACGATGTGACTTCTGCTGAACATGTTGTATGGGTTTGATTATTTTTGAAATATATATTTCAGATATATTTTAAATAATTGTCGAGTATAGTATTTATACTAATTAACTGGGGCTATTTTTTGTTTATTTTGTTTTGCGCGCACTTGGTGAATTAATATATATATATATATATTTTAGAGGGGGCAGTTTGCGAATTCTGAATTTTAACTGAAAATCTTGTGATTTGTTTGAGACTTTTTATAGAGTTTGTTTAAAAGCGGACTGCGCAGCTACTGCGGCTTCAATGCGTAAGAGAGTGAGCGCCGGAGAGAGATGGCACGAGCCGAAAAGAAAGAGAGGGAGCGATAAATGAAGAGCGTGCCGTAAAACAAGTTAACCTTTTCCTTATTGATAACAAATTAATTTATAACGCCGACTAAACTAAGCGAGCACGAATTTAATTTATCGAAGAGAACGCGCTCTTAATTATGTTTTCTCTTAATATTTTAATGTGGGAAACTGGGATCTTCCGGGATAAAATCTTAGGTTCTTTGGTTTTCCCCCCGTTTAAAGTGATTCAGTTCTGGGGGATTCATTTCACTTTTCTGTACGATTTTTCACACCCTTTGTTGTATTTTGTTTTTATTCCAGAATTTCTTTGTTGACCGCTAATTAAACAGCTGATGTTTAGTCAGCAACTGAAACACCGAAATCGCTCAAACCAATCTGAATGAGATTGTTAAGTTAATAGCCAGCCCGTCCATTTACATAATATTCGTCATTTGTATATATCGCTTTGGATGTGGCTGTCCCATGATTATCATTCCAATATCAGAGCACGAGGAGCAAACAAATGTGAATTAGGCAGAGCCGAAACAATTAACAAAGATTTTGTTATGGCCCATATTTGCTCACCCTATTTGCACCCATCCAATAGTATTGTGCGAGCTTAGAACTCTGGATTCGCAATAGCCTAACGAAATTTTCCAGTTGGGTAAGCCGCAAGGTCGACTTTGCACGAACCTTAATTCAATTCGCCGGCTGACCCAGAAAATAGCTTGAGGACTGGGCGCAAGGTCAATTGATAAGCCGAACTTTTGTTAAGTTTGAGTGGTTTTTGATATTTTTTTTAGGTAAATAAAAATTAAACTTGTTGACACAAATTTTTGTTTGTTTTGTTTATTTATAAAGATTTTTTTTTTTTAATTTTTAGAATATTCAAATTTTGATAGCTTTAAATAAACTATTAAATTTATCCATTTTACATTTTAATATTAACATTTTCCTTCATTTCTTTCTTCTTTATGTAACTCTGTCATATCAAATGATTGAACTACAGTATTTAATTAATTTGCTTACCAAATAAAACTGCTTTAATTAGCAACAAAATTTAACCCAATTAGAATAATCTATTAAGCTTTTGCATTTTACATTTTAATAAAACAATATTTCAATATTTCTTCCATTTTGAAACAACGTCATATCCAATGATTGAACTACAATATAATATAAACTTGTTATTTAGATATTAAGTCTTAGAAAATGTGAAATGGTTGGCAGCTTTGTATTACCAAATAAAGCACGCAAATCAAAACATAGTTAAGTTAATTCAACTGTCACTTTTTCCGTAATGCGTGGCCCTGAAACTTAACTGGTGCAGCTCGTAAATCGGGCATATGCATGTTCCCAAATGGTATATAATTCATCATTTACCGGCCGTGGATCGTGCCAAATGTCGAGTGAATGTGGTTAGTGCCGCCTGGCTTTAACTGACGCATCATCTGAAAAGCGCAGACGGGTGATAAAAAACTGTAATTTCCCCGGAGACAAAAAGTTGCATATTCATATCTTCCAAAGTGTCGACGACATCACGTAAAGTGCTAAGTGCTCACACGGCGATGACGATTCTCTTTCTCTGGGGTTTTTGCTTAAACTCATTGAGATTCTCTTTGGATTCTCGTTGGCTGACGATTCTCTTCCGACGTCATTTGAAAGCCGGGTTTTCGAAAGGCTTTTGGGCATGTTCGTCATTTCAAGTTACTTTACTTTACTTCACCGTCCCGGAAGCCGACGAAAATAAAACGGGGAAGCGTTCAAAAATCCCCAAATGCGAGCCCACAAATCGAGGAGTTAAAACGTATATATAATATATACATTTTATATCAACCTAACGAATTTGGCAGTGGCATTTACAGTTTAGAGCAAGTTTCCTTAAATTGATACCTTGTTATCGGGCGCGTTTCCTCATCGCTGTATTAAGAACGCTGCTCAATTCCGGACCCCCGAAATAATGCCGTAAATCTCGGCAAAGTTTAAGGCAGCAATTGCCACTCGACTTCCTAACGCTTATCGGCCTAAATGCTTTGGCCATTTGATCAGTGTATCAAGTATATCAGTAGTTTATCAGTTTGCGCTTGTAGGCATGAAGTCATGATATTCTATTTGAACGGGAGCACCCGACTCGTACAAGTATTATATTATATATTCCTCGTCATCACTTATCGGTAGCCACTAATTGATTTGATTCCGATACGCCTGCAACTGAATGAACGGGCTCAATGAGCGAGCACTTTCCCCTGTGATCGCGCGCGCAAAAAAAAAGGGACAATGCCTTATCGATGCCAATTAAACAATTATGCGAAAATAGCTCAGGTGTGCTCATTGCCGTCGAACATTACGAGTCGTAAGCGACCCATAAATAGACACATCATGTGCTTTATAAAACACACAAGCGCTTCCAAAAATAAAATGAGCTCAGACGCCCAAAGTCGAAATCAAACTTCTTGGGCCATATATATTAATGTATTTCTATAAACCAAGTCAATTGCCCAGATAGCGGGCCATAAATGCCATTAGCGTGAGCGTTATAATGGTCCGGAATTGTCCCATAATTCTACTGGATGATGATCCGCTGATGGGGCGATTGCATCCGTCGTCCTGGCACAGATTACATCCTGCCACGGTCCAGTTGTCGAAGAGACCGTCGCATCCTTCCGTCTCATTACTCTTTCTGGCGGTGGTGCAACCCCTCTTAGTGATCACTGATTCATTGACTGTGGAGGAGGCTCAATTAGTAATTAATATAGTTTAAAGCTTTTTGGAAATACTCTATGTCTACAGATAAGCATTTGTTGATTAAGCGCCTGTATTGAAAATATATAAAATACTTTTTAGCACTAACAACTTTGCTGAGAAATTCTTAACCAATTTTTCTTATTCTTTATTCTTTAATGGAAAATAAAATAAAATCATAAGTATTTACTGTCAACTAATAATTATTTTTTTTATTTTTTTTCTTTTAAATCATCAAGTTGTCTTATTTTGAAAGATTAAGAAAAAATCAAAAGAATTTATAATTTAAAGAATAATTTTTATGTTCACCCCTTTGCTATTTAATATTATCCTGATAGTTATATAAAAGAAAGTGTTCATTCTTAAAACCTTTGAGTTCAGCAAATATATTAAAAAAAAAAGGAAAATAAATATTAATTTCGTTGACTTCCAAACTGATAATCATATTTGATTAACCAAGCAATATAGAAAATGTTGTTAAAACACAAAGGTTCATTCGCAAAATAACAATACTTGAATTAAATTTAAATAAACATGACATAAAAGTAAAAAAAAATGTAATTAAATCGGTATACAAAAAAAGCTTTGACTAGTTTCCTTTGAAGTTTTTCAACACATTTTGCTTAGTGCATTCATTTTTGCACTTTATGCTATCTTTTCATGGGTGACTCAACAATAGATAACTTATCGTTTGCGGGTGGAAGCATCACACCAGACAGCGTTTTATGAATTTTGCAATGTGATGCCATGGGAATCGAAGGCAGATGCTTACGTTGGAGCGTCACTTTGTAGCAGAAGGGGATTGGCATATCGAGGTCGACCTGTCGGGCGATTGATCTCCGCCTGCGCCGTTCCTCCTCCTCTTCGTCCTCTTCCTCCTCCTCTTCGCTGACAGCTCCTTCGGATGCTCCTCCTGCTGCTGCTCCTCCTGCTGCTGCTCCTCCAGCTCCTGCTGGTGGTGCACCATTTCCGCTTCCGGGTTTCTGGGGCATAACGTTTCCGGCTGGCATGATGCCTATGGTGGACGACTCCTCGCTCTCATAGTCCTCCTCTTCGCTCCCATCGGAAGGAGCTGCGGGGGCAGGTGATGCAGCAGGAGCTGGAGAAGCAGCTGGTTCTGGTCCTGGACTTGGACTCGGACTTGGACTCGGACTTGGACTCGGACTCGGACTGGAAATGGAAGTGGCAGGTGTGCCCTGTCCAGTGCCACTTATTAGTGGGAAATCGCACATTTCCATGTCGCCGAGTTGGGTATTCTCATCGCAGTCCTCACATTTGTAGCAACGCAAAGCTGTGCCGAGAAATAATGGTATTAAATGTTGAAATAAAATTAAATCAAACATAAAACAAGAAATTGCTATTAATTTAAACTTTTAAACTTTTATTTACCATGTTAAGTTACTTAACATCTTTCCATAAAGTAATTTTAGCCAGAGAAATTTAAACGTTACAAGATCCAATCATTTTATTTTAAAAATTATTAAGTTGCTGGGCAAGCTTTACTTAAAATAAGTTTATCTTTAATAATTTTCTGAACCAACAAATAATATTTAAATATTTGTAATTTTTGAAAATCACATTTGAAAGTTATTAATCAGTTGAATATAATTATATTATATTTTAATATTATAGATATAAAAATGTTAACTATTAAATCATCTATTCAACTAAAATGTGTGTTTTAAGGAAGGCTTTAAGATTTTTGATATTTACATAATATTATTTACTAAATTCCTGTTGTAATGCAATATCTTCCAGAAGTGAAAAGCGCACCCATGACCTTGAGTCACCCGGCACCCTTGTGTAACAGTGTGCGTGATTAGGGTGCACCTTATCGGCTCCCACTTATCAGCTGGATTACACAGGCAATAAGCGCACCCTTCTGTGGGGTTCAACGTTGCGTATGAGCAACTTTTGCAACTCGGCTCGGGGTCAATCAATTAGCATGTGGGGATGGCTCACACACACACCATGATTTATGACATACCTGAAACACCTGTGCCGCACAAAATGAAAGCCACCAACAGCAGAAACCACAACGAACGCATTTCGGGCAGGTTGAATGGATTAGAAAATTGGGGAAAGTTCAAAAACTTTCAATTTGCAAAACGTCAAGGTGTCAAGATGGTCGGTAACTTTTTCAGAACTTTCAAGAGCCCTTAGACTGTTAAAAATTTTCGACTCCTTCTTGGGTGGTTTTTCTTCAATTTTTTCCGCTCTGCTGTAGTGTCAGCAGTTACTACCGAAAATTCAAATTGTACTGACACAAAGAACTTTCCGGAGGCTGTTGTTTCTATATCAAAACTGAATTTCTTGGCTATAATTGAGGGCTGGAGGACTGAGGGGATGGCCAATAATTTGCCGCATTGAGGAAACATGTAGTGCCCTGGAAGTGGGAACAAAAACTACAAGCGACAAACGATACCATCGCCCCAGACTTTTAAATTAAATGCGAAAAAGAGAGATAGACTGCAGGAGCGACAGAGGTGGATATATTTGATAAGCGGAATGGGAGCGAAGAACTGAAGCATCTTACATGAGTAATGGGAAAATTATCTTTGATTGCTGAAAACATCTCAAAAAGAAAAGGGAAAAACATAACATGGGGAAAACACGAGGTATAGGCTAAGAAACCGAAGAGCTTAATACCGTAAAAGATTTAATATCTAGAGAACACAAAATTTTATAAAATAAATTAATAGTTGATTTAAGTGGGTAGAAACATTACTAGAAAAGGTAAAAAAATAAAAAAACAATAATTGTGCCAATTTTAAAATATTCAATTAAGGGTTGTGAGTATATTTATATTTAAAGTGTATAGTATACTATTTTTTTTAATAAAATATGTTTTGTTAGTTACCTCTCAAACAATTCGATTTAAAATATTTATTTTATTGCAAAGCATTTCCGAACACTGATAAAATCCACATACCCTTTGTAGTTATGCAGAAACTGTTATACAGCTACTGCCGCCGTTATCTGATTGTAATAAATTCGTACGCAAAACTCTGTTATACTGTTATACAGCATTTATTGGTGTGCTCTGAATGTTAAATTTTTTGTTTCCATTTCAAAACTCGCTTATGAACTAAGCAGAACTTATTGCTCGACTCGGCGCAAAATCATATAGTACTATATATGTAGTGTGCGGCTTTTAGGCGATTGTAAGCTCACAGATTAATTATTGCATTGCTTTTCATTAACATTTCGTCTAATTGCACATTTAACATTTATTGCATTTGTTTTACTTTATTATTAAATTCGCGTTTTGCATTTAGTTGATTGTTTTTGCTTGCGGCTTTTATGACAAATTTATGTTTTCCGTTCAATATGTAAGTTTTGTAAGTTTTTTCTGTAATTCTGTAACACGAATGCACTTTTGAATTTACCTAAGAATACTAATTCACATATATATTGCTTTCTAAAAATTATGAAAATTAAAGGCAATCGGTGAATTCTTATACTCATCGCTCCTAGCAGTTACAAATAACAAATCAGAATAGTAACATAATTAAGCTAGATAGTAAGAGCTAATGACATAGAATCCCAAACATTGATATTTCTATATAGGATGTAGTACCTTGGGTATTCCTACTATTTTTTTTTTTTGGTATTTATTTTTGAAATTGAAAGATTCATGTTTATTTTGAATCAAAGCGACTTTGTGTGTGAGTTTTCCCTCTCTGTGTGTATTGTATCGGTGTTTTGGGTGCTTACATTTCTAGGGTTAAGGGGAAAGTTTAAGGGGTAGGGGGGTTTAAGTGAGTGCCTTTGAAACACTTATACGAACCAGCGACGTTGCACTCAAATATTTACAAAGTAAACGGCAAGGGTAACGCTAACGGTAACTCAACCTAAATGCGACCAACTCATTCCATCGGTATACTAATATATCCCTTGTGTGTTGTTCCTTTCCTTTAGTGGCCCAGTTGGATCAAAATCAGGGCCAAAACCGAACCCATCGATAGCGTTATGGCTGCCGCTCCATTGCAGCGATCCGTCTTGCAAATGTCGCAGAAGAAGGCATCCTCCGCCGAGGGCTCCTCCTCGTCATCCGCATCCTGGCCCTTCTTCCGCCGCTTGTTCTGGTTGCGATTGCGCTGCTCCCGCTCCTCGGCGGTCGGGATGCGCAGCTTGGTCCTCAGGATCTGGCAGGCGTCGGAGTCCCCGGTGTCAAGTTGGCAGAAACGAGCGGTCACCACTTTCCGAGTGTCAGCTAAGAAAATAAATTAATTCATTATTTTAATAGTTTATAAATAACTAGTAAAGTAGCTTGTTTTGTTTTTGGATCGACTCTAAATTTCTATGACGTTCAGTTACAGTTTGCATAATCTATTTGTCTCATTAAAAAATTATACATTTTTAAAATAATTTAAATTACATATGAATTGCTTGTTCAACATTGTTCAACATGCATTGGTAGCAAGGCATTTAGGATTTTAAACAAATATTTTAAAGGTTTTCCTTTGCTTACTCATTAGAGAATATATTGTTATTTTAATAAATGCCATTTCGTGAAACTTTAAATCTGTGCAGCTATTTGTAATAATGGTTCTGTTGCCATAAAGTATATCTCGCTTGGCAAACTGCAACTTTATCTACCTGATAACGATCATATCTAAGCCAAGGCAAATATTAGTTGAAATGTTCATAAAAGTAAGTCAGAAGACAAATACATGTTAATGATTCATATGTGAAATTATATAATAAATATATACTATACATTTAAAAGACATTACATTGTTTGCTCCCAAGAAGCACAGCATACGTGCGAATACTCACGGTCTTTGGCCACAACTTTTTGGCAATTCATAAGCGGATTTTTGTTGGCGCCGTTATCGAAATAGGAGAATTTATTAAGGTCGAAAAGCCAGGTGTCCAGCGATTTCATTTTGTCCAATGTGCATTCCTAAAATAATCCCAATAAAATGTCATTACTCATTGTTTACTTTTGGCTGAAAATGTGTTCTTTTTTGAATGGTTGTTGATCTACAATCTTGTCGCAGGTCTGTAATTGTAGTATTAATTGCTGTTGCATTTTGTGCGTAAATAATTTATCTTATCAACATTAGAGTTCATCGGTATCGGTAACAATGCGTTTTCCAAACAGCCTTGGTTATCAGAGGAAAAGCACTTGAACTCCATTTATATAACCCAGATAAGTTAAGATATAAGGCGTAAAGTGTTATAGACATTAAAGATATTACTTGATAAAAATCGGGGAACACCCTTTAAATAGTTAGAGAACTAGTGTATAGGTCTGAGTAAATTTAAAAATCTACTGACAATAATTTGAAATACGGATTTATTTACAAACATCATAAAAATAGTCTTAAAACTTTGCCCAAAATATTACTTGCGTGTGCTTGCAGCTTATTATTTTCTAATCAGATTTTTATTTTTGGCAAAAAAATATCAACCCAAATCTGACGTTTCTTAATTCTTATTCGCAAATATAACAAAAGATAGGAGTCTATCTCACAATAATCACTGAACTCTTAGACAAGTTTATTACTGAGAACATTCATAAATTTGTGAGATTAATTTGGCACGACTAATTTGATTTTGAATTATTTATTTTGACAACAACCTTAGTTTCGCAGACAATAAAAGATAACGCGTTAATTTATTTACAAATAAAATAAGAACATTTAACGCTCTTTGCAGTTTAGGTATTGCAAATTCACACCTTTGATTTGACAAATGAAATAAATTTAAAGAATTAATTTGACTTCTTTAAACATTGTGTTGAATAATTTTCTTTGAATGAATATTTGCTTATCTTTCTTAAGAATGACGGCTGCACGGGGCTTTTGTCGAGTTTGTCACTTTACTTTTTGATAAGCACAATGAGTTAATTGTCTTCCATAATTTATTGTTAAATAAATATTAAATTAAATTGTAGTTTTTATGGTAAAGCTTGTAGTCGACATGATTCATTCACTCTTAAATTAAGTAAATTACTTGATATCACTGCTTAAGTTTAAATAAAGTTATATGATATGCATTTTACTTTGTTTTATTTATTTTTTAGACACCGTTTTGTCACTTTGATTTACTACATCTGATTATTTTGAACAAATATAGAAATTTCTTGAGAGTACAGAAAAACGTTTTCCCTGTGAAGTTTATAAATATATAAGATTATACTTTAAAATGTTTAAAAGGCCTATTTAAACCATTTAGGTGTGTCCACCTTAATTCAAATTAATTCTTCTAACGTTTAACTAGATTTCTACAAGAACCTGTCAGGTTGAAATATAAGTTGTTGGACTTTTGTGAAAGTATTTCTACTTTTTGGCACGTGGACGGGTTAAGTTGCCTTCCTATCGCAGTCCCCTTAAAAAAAAAGTCGAAAGATGCCAGTAACTGAAAATTCACTTAGTGTGGAAAAGGGAAAATCGGAATGGGGGGAACCCCACAAGAGGACGACGACGTTGCACGTTTCCGTTTCCGCTTTTGTGGGTTCTATTTCAAACCGTCCATTTCTACCTTCCTTTTTTTTGTGCCTGGCGAGAATTTATGTGCCAAGTAGTTTAAATTTGTGACCTGCACTTTGATTAAGGTCACCCTGGGCCAGATTAGGCTGGTTCAAAAGGTTGAGACTACTTGACCTGGCCACAAACAACAGGTCCTGGGCAAATAATCAATCAATCCGCTGATGGATGATGCCCTTAGGGGCAATCTGCTTTTCACTCACCTCGGGCACAATGCTGGAATTGGAGCCCAGATCGGCGCAACTGGGATTATCGCTCGAATCGCAGACAAAGCACTTGATGGCTGCGCCTATGGGATATGCAATATAAATTTTTATTTCACAACATTAGAGTAAACACACACACACACACACCATTCGAAAAGAAGGCCGCCAGAGACAGAAGCAATAAAAATCCCGACATCACTCGCACTGTTATTTTCTTTCTTTGATTTATTTCCCTTTTGGTTGCAGATTTTTCAAATATTTTCTGGCACTCGCGCGCACTATGTGATTTTCTCGAATTTTCCGCTCAAAGATTTTAGGTAGGTACCGCCACTGCCGTTGGCCAAAGGCAAACTGAAATTGGAAACCAGCTAGGCTAACACAATTGCCTGCAAAAAGGATATGCGCCACGACCACGTCATCGTTTTTGGCCCGAACAAGAAACGAAGCTGTCTTTCATGGGCGGTTACTTCGTCCTTCATCCTTCGTCCTGGGATCTTTTTCTGCGTGGGTGCGTCGCTCGAGTGGCTCACGATGCCGACAGTAATAACGTCTTGGCCGCCCCACATGCCAGCAAAAGGCAAAAATTATTTAAATTGCAAAATGCACCAGCCAAAAGGGGGGAGCTTGTCAAAGGAACTGCAGAACCGCGACGGAAAAAATGCAATTTCCCTGTTTCCAAACACTTTTGGCCTCTACTCTGCGGCTCAACACCAAAGACAATACGAAAAAATCTCATAATTTGAATAAAAATAAAGTTTTACTCGAGAAATAGCTAAATGAAAAACAATTTAGAAGTATTACCTACAATTATTATTTTGTAAAAGTGAAATTTGAAAACATTGAAGCCTAATATATTTACTTAGTATTTATATATTTAACAAGATATTGAAATACATTCAATCAACCAATTAGAACTTACAAAAAAATTGTATTTCTAAAACTTAAACTAATCTAAAAAGCTAAGAATTATTTTAAATATAAAAAAACGCAACACACAACTTGACAATTTCTTTAATTAATTTAATTCTTGATTCATTTAAAAAAGTGTAATATAATTCAAACGAATTTGCACTACATTCTAAATAACCCTACGCTTTTTTTCTTAGAACATTACTCAAAAGGATTGAATCGCTTGAATTTAAATTACTTTTTTTTAGGACTTCTTCAGGAAAGCATCCCGTTTGACCCATTAGCCTAACGAAAGCAGCTCACCATTGCAGCTCAAATGAAATTATGTATTTAAACCAAAAGAGGAGAATACGCGCGAGAGTCTGTTAAAATATGAGTGCCCTGGGAGTTGGTTAAAAAAACAAAAAGGGGGAAGCTGGGTAGAAAGGACATGGAAATGAAGATGGTGGTGGTGCCCAGAGGACTGGATAGCAGCAACAAAGCAGAGCAATTAGTGGCGCCCAAGAGCGAAAAACTCATCCGCTTCTCGGTATTGCGGCTTCCCTTTTTTTCCCTGACCTCGTCGCACTTCCACAGACGACATCCTTTGGGCGTGGGCGTTCATTTATCGCCAGCCAGCGGTTGTCCTCACATTCAGGAACATTCCATTCCCATACCCCTTGCCATTCCCAAATCCTTCTGTATCTTCCGCGGGCCATAGCAGCTGGCAAGCGTTTCCATTTATCATAAACAATGCAGAACGTGATTGGTGTAGGTCGCGGCCCTGGCCCCAAAAATCCGCCAAAAGGTTTAGCTAATGTGGCCGCTTGTTTCTGGTACCTCATAATGAAGTAGGTGGGATTTTCGAGGTGGCTGGTGTGTGGTGGAGAAAACCGAGGCACTTACTTTGCGGAAGTTTAGAACATAGTTAAGCTAATCTCCTAGAAAGCCACAGTGGGTCTTTAATATTATTTTTTCTTTATAAACCACATAAAAACTAAATAAGTAAAATAAGTAAACAAAAGAGGACCAAAAGATTGAATTAAAAAAACAGATAGTTAATTATAATTAAAGTATCTTTACTACTTTTCTTTTTTTTTTTTTATTATTCTTTTAACTACATAAGGAAACTTTTAAATTTGAAAGTCCTTGCAGTAACGTTAGTAAGCAAGCTCACTTAGGGATTACAGGCGCTGAGCTGACCTTTAAAGTTAAAACAAAACAACTAATTTAATTTCCTTCAAGCGAACTATGCCGGATCGCAAAACAAAACTTCCGGGGGATTTGAAGTTTTAATTGCCGCAATCCTCGTGAAAAGGGGTAACCCACAGAAACGATTTCTTCTAGTGAAAATGCGAGTCAGCGGCAATTTCAATTACCCTTTAGAGCCGGCCATTTCCAGTGTTTTTCCTGGCCGCGGGCCATAAAACTGCAGCCTGTTGCCCAAAGCCAAAAGGGAAATGAAATCAGAGCCTGGCCAATTTCACTGCCGCGTGACAAGGACACATTCGGGGATGTCTGGACAATGGCGATGATGACGTCATCGTGTTGATGTCATAATTCCAGCGCACTCCACATCGCATGTCGCCACTTCATTTGCTAAATGCGACAGGACATAATTAAAAATGTTTACACACGTTCCCGTTTCCTGTTTCCTGTTTCCTGTTGGCATTTATTCACACTGGATACCCTTGAAGGTCAGCCATGAATTATGCTTTCGATTTTTACAACTTGACACATTTTCGTCCGTGCTCGACTTTTGGTTTACAACCTCTTTATCTCTGCATCGAACCGAGGAAATCGTAAAACGTGTTTTTTGTTTTTTTTTTTTTCGCTTTTACCATGGCTATAAATTTGTTTTTGGCAAGAAAAAAACCCAAGAATGTAACAACATTTTGTGGGTCAACAGTTTTTCTGCTATTGCGAATGCCCGCCCACAAAATGGCCTTTAATTAGTTGAAGTTTTCGCTTGGCATGCTAATTGAAAAACTTTTTTCTAGTGCAGCCGCAGCGATGAAATATTTACGGTTTACGGTGGCTTCGCAAAAGTGTGTCAGACTATCCCATTACCCAGCTAAAGTGGTAGTCACAAAAGAGCTCGAGTGGGTAAACTGCGGACTTCTGTTGACTCGGGTTTAATTGAGTTTTATTACGTATACGCACCGTGTCGGCCACACACATCGCCTTGGGTTTCCGTAGCCAATTAACTTGCCAACTAGCAGCTGCCAAGGACGCAGGGAAAGCCAATCCGAGGCAGCTCCGATTCCAGCAATAAACATTAAACTTTATCGTCGGCTATATCTGCAGCTTCTGGGTAAATCAATCGCTGCAAATGCGCTTGCAAATGCCAGAGCCTCGAATTGCAGGGGAATCGGAATATAAAAAGTGCTGGTGCAATGGAAAGCGAATCCCACACACAGTTCGAAGGGATTATTCTGCACTACTATATGCTGAGCCAGCGAAGTTATTTTATGGTTACATACAAATAGCTGTTAGGGGTTTTAGCTGTCTCAAAATGAAATTTATATCTGTTTTCTGTGGCAGTATAATATACTATGGATGTATAAGTACAGTAATATTTTTATACAAGCTTCAACTTGAACTAGATTTTATTTAAATTATATTTTTTTTTTTAATTTAAAATACAATATCCCTTGAATTTGTTTCAGAATTAAATTTAAATAATGATTATTATTTTTTTATAAAACGAAAGCCAACACCACGACACATACCAGCATTTAAGAACCACTTTTATTGAAAAATCTTCATTTACCCCCATAATACCACAATAACTCGTAATAAAATCAAAACTTTAAAAGCTAGCAATTTCATTCAATCCTATTCCAGTAACAAAGTTGCCTTTATAGTCATCTGCACAATCATCTAAGGAATGGTAAGCACATAAAATCAATTTGCCAGGCAAACAATGCCAAAGTACGTAATTTTTTCCAGCAATCACTTGCACTTGACTGCAATCGCCGTTCAAGCAGCCTCAGGTGGGCCAAAGGCTAAAGAAAAATCGCCGAAATAAAAGGCAGAGATTTCTTGCCATTTTACCCCCTATCTTTTATGCGATTCACAGGTCAATGAGCCAAAAGGAAAACCGGAGGAACTTGGTAGAGAAATGACAGCAATTTGTGGGAATCTCTGGTGCAGCACGTGCCACAGGAATGCAGCTGCAGCAGCAGCAGCAGCAGCATCATCACCATCAACAGCAATCAGCTTCTGAGAGGGCGTGACATATACAAAATATCATGGCATACTTCTAGGCAGCTAGTAAAAAGTCTTACTCCGCATTGCGTATACGCCACGATGGTTGCAAACGAAACGTGACTCAATGTTCTCTATGAACAATAAAAATATTTGCTCTTGGCTAGAAGAAAGCCAAGTATAAATCATGCAGCTGATTAACATACAAAATCTGCATGTCACTAAAATGCTAGCGAATTCCAAAGACAAATGTTGACTTGTGAGATTTAACGCTAGCAAAACAACGTTGTTAGTTAGGAAAACAATAAGAATCATCCTTCATGTGTTTCCTTAAAAAGTATAACTCAAAGAGAAGAAAAAATATCTTAGCACAGGCATTTATAATCTAGTGTTTAAAGAACAAATAATAAATTCAAAGCTGAGTTTGATTGTTCTTTTCAAGCAATAATTTTTACAAATTGAATTCATTTAAACGCAAAAATCACTGGAATCAACAGTCAAGAAATTCTATGTTTATGGAAATTCTAGCCAACAAAAAGAAGGTTTATGCATTGCACAGATATTTGCGCGATGGCTTGGAATGAATAACAAATAACCCCGCAGACAATGATAACTTTATAGCCTGCTGGCGTTTTGTTTTTCTTCTGCTCGACCCACCCTGCGTATGCGCTATTTGGCGCGTAATGACATTTATGTTAGCTTACTTTTATGATGCATATTTTGGAGTGCCTCTCAAGTGTGAAACTTTTAGCAAAAACAATTACCTGGAAAAACTTTGAGCTGTTCAATTATGGGGAAAAGTGTGATTGAAAAAAATAAGATAATGGCTCTTCTTCAAATTTTAAAACAAAGTACTGTTAACAATCAAATAATTTTACAAAACTCACTGAAATAAATAAAAGCAAAGGTCAAGCTCATTTCTGACCAAAAATTTAAGCTATGTAGGTTTGCCAATTCATATTTACAAATCAAACAATTAAAGAAAATGCGGAACTGAATAAAGGCCAATAGCAAGCGGCAAAAACAGTAATAAATGATTTGCACAATATTTTTGGCGAGGGCGCTCAGTGAATTCAAAATCAATGTTTTTTATGTTGGCGCCAGAATGTCGGCGAAAATAAAAGGAAGCCAACGACTGAACAGACAGAGACCAGGCTGCCAATGAGCCTGAGGAAGTGGGCGTGGCTGGGCGAGTGGTTGGTTGGGCGGAAGGGGCGGGGCAGGGCGGATGCTGTTGCTGTGGCAACAAGGCGCCACTAAGTCGACAGTACGCACCCATAGACAAAAGCTGCAGAGCCATTTGAGCTGGCGACGACAGAACACAAATGCTAACGCATGTAGGTCGACCCAAAAGTTGTGTTTGTATCTGTATATCTATCTGCGTATCTGTGAGAGCGTATTTCGGCATTTGTATGTGTGCAGAAGACAAACAGCAACTGGCTGCGTATTAAAGTTGGTGGTCAGAGCCAAAAAAATGAGCTACACCCTGAGAAATCATCCTTAATATTTTAGCATAATACTTTTATTTGTTTAAGCACTTAAGCAAAAAAAGTAATAATACCTAATAAAATTTACTGAAATTATTTCGATTCTGTAGTTTTTAAAATAACCAGCTCTTACAATTGAATTCTAAATAATTGTGTCCATGTGAAAACAAAATCAAAATACTGTCAATAATGCCAAACTCTTTGTAGTGATTCTATAACATAAAGAGTTTTAAATTAAAGTTGATTCCTTTGAGAGTCATATAAAATGCTGTTTTTAATGATTTTTTTTTTATAAATTGCGTTCAAACCCACTTAAAAATAGTCGTCTCAGCTTGATGTTTGTAGTTTTTATTTTAATTTAATTTAATTTAGTTTAATTTAATTTAATTTAATTTAATTTAATTTAATTTAATTTAATTTAATTTAATTTAATTTAATTTAATTTAATTTAATTTAATTTAATTTAATTTAATTTAATTTAATTTAATTTAATTTAATTTAATTTAATTTAATTTAATTTAATTTAATTTTAATTTTTGTATTTGGAAAATATTATACAGTTTTTATTTAATTTTGAAAATTACAGAAATATTACAAGTTCAATTATTTTTTTTTTAAATAATTATTTTGATTTATTTTTTTCTTTGTGTAATTCTGTATAACTGTGTGCGTGCTTGACTTAATGGGCCAACATGTCGTCAGGGTTCTCATGCTCATCCTCAACAATAAAACTAACAAAGTTGCCCTATTATTTTTGGCCTGCGTAGACAGTGATTTTGACTCTGGGCCACAAAACAATTTCTGTAGACATTTTGGCAGCAAGTATCAAAGCGATAGACAGGGACAGACCGCAGGAAAAGGCACCGAGCCGAAATATGTGGGCGAGTCCTTGGTCAACTTTAGCGTTCGTCCTTCGTTTTCACATATGAAAATTTCGATTTAATATAATTGCCGCCGACATATTCTGTAAACGCATAAATTTTGCGTTGAGCAAAGTGATTTAAGTGCTAAACATAAGTAATTGAATTTCTGCAGTCCAATGTGTTTATGCATCGATAATTTATGGTCAACATTTTGGTTAGTCAGAACTAAAGCCTAAAGTTAATTAAATTTGTAACAATATAAATGCTAAGGTTTTGTAAAATTAAATTCAGTTTTGGAGATTTAAAAAATTGTATAGTTTTGATATAATATTAAATACATTTAAACAACAATTAAAAGTTAGCTTGAAGTAAAGGCAAAAGATTTTATAAAAAGTTATATTATAAAAAGTACTATTGTTCATAGCTTGACTATTTTTTTAAATTGTTTATGTTTACTAATATTTAAGACTTTTATTATTATTATAATTATTACATTATAAAAATTGTATTTTATATTTTATTGTAATTTTATTTTTATTTCTTTTAATGTTTCTGTTTATATAATATTCAATTTTAAATAGCTTATTCTCGTTTAACATAATGCTTTTATTGTAAAATTCCCTGTAATTTCCCAGTAAAACTCCAAAACTTCAGTTAAATATAATGCTTATATTTTCATAGAAATTAAATACAAATACGAAATACGAGACTAAACGCACAACAGCTGCCAAGACAAATGGGATGTGTACATAGCTAAAAATATGGCAAACATCAAAGAACTTAGTGCAGAATATTAAAGACTTAGTGTAAACAGTTGGGCTAAGGTACTTTTTTATGAATGCAGGCTTCGGGATGCGGATGCTAGAGTTGCTAAGTTAATGCCTGATGACGCTGGCCAGTGCCAGACTGACCACCGAGCCGACCAGGCTGTAGGCCACCTGGCGAGCTCCCATCAAGGACTTGGCCCCATTGCATCCTTCGTCGGCACAGGTGCAGATGATCTGCTTGTAGCCCTCGTTGTCGGCCGTGAAGCAGGCGTTCTGTATCTTTTCCTCGATAAAGCCGCAGCCCCTCTCGATCCTGTGCTCATTGTTCGCCTCGAACTTGATCACCGTCTTGCGGCAGAAAGCCTCCTTGCCACTGGGCGGGGCACAGTCCTTCAGGTACTGGTTGTCCCTCTGGGCACGGGGCGTGTTGACCACCAGACCACCGCAGTCCTCGTTGTCATGCGTGTTGCACTGGTGGCACCGAATGGCACTCACTGCAATGGCAACCGAATAAGGCAGCAATGCATTAGTTATGTGCATTTTATTTATTTCAACCAGCACTTAAATAATAAGGTTATCAACACACCTTACAATTCATACAAATTATTGCCCAAGATTTGAAAAGTTAGTTGGATACTTTGATATCTGAATTACAGAAATATTTGAATTTAAAATGTATTTTTTCTTTAAGTAAAGGAAATATTGTTGATGTGTGATATATTAAGACAATTTACCGTAGTTATCGCCTTGTAGATTAATTAATAACAAATATGAACGGAAATTAATCATCAATCCTAGGCAATTTGTAGTATCAAAATTCTACAAATTAAAAGCACAATTAATATTTAATGTGTGAAATATTTAGACAATTAAATGTAGTTATCGCTTTGTAGATTTATTAAAGAAAAATGTAAATGGAATTTAATCATCAATCTTAGACAATTTGTAGCATCACAATTCTACAAATTAAAAGCACAATAAAGTTCTTAATGTGCGAAGTTCCAAATATATTACCATTGTTTTTAAAAAGTGAGATAATCTTAATTTTGCTAATGCGTGGAAAACATTAAAGTAATCTAAAGTTTGAATCTTTTGTTTTTTAGTTTCTTTTGTTTACTTTTAATGAGCTAGACAATAATGATTAATTATAATTCTAAAGAACATGTCATTAAAAAGCCGTTTTTTTTTTTATTTTTTTTTATACATACAAATTATTTATAATAATATAAATTTTGCTTATCTTGATTCTGAAATAATGCGCAACCACTTAATATTAGTTACGACATTTGCTTTAATTAAACCACACTTTCCCTCCTCGATGGTAATTGGATATGTGCAACCTCTAATGGCATTCAAATGCCGCGCAATTCGCCCTTTTCAAAGTGGCCGACACACTGACAGTAAATTGTTTTATTAGCCTCCCATCGCCACCCATATTCATACCCAGATACTGTCGGCAGGTGAGGCCTCTGACTGACAAACTAACAAACTGACTCCGATTCGACTGCAGTAACCTGAATAATTGCATGTCAACTGCTTGGGGCCAAAAAATAAATGCCGAAACATCCAGACTTTGGCACGCGAACCCTCGAGAACCCGGAAAAAACTAGGCTTAATATGCGTTTGAATTATGTCGAAGTTCAGTAGCCCTAACTAAAACATAATATATAATTACATATTTTACAAATAATCAGATAATCAATATCTTTAAACTATTTATTAAAAAAACAAAATTGGCGTTGTCAATTTATTTACCTAAAAGCTATAATGTGGTTAAAATAAATCTTTGATTTCAAAATCAATTGTTAGTATTTAATTAATATAATTAAAAATTCAAACTTTTTCCTAATAAATTATATTTAATTGACTCATAAATTTTTGTTAATTTACTTAAGCATAAATAGGAAATGTTTATTTTAAAAATAAATTTACTTAACTGAAAACAATTTCTAAGCTTCTTGAAAATATTTTAACATTAAATAGATATTTAAATAAATGAAAGATAGCTTTAAGTCATTGCACTTTTCTATTACATTTTTTATTGCCAAATCCGTTTTCCCATAAGCTTATTTGACAGTCTCTATCCAATTTGGTTAACATTTGACAGAAACTATGGCCTGAGGAAAGGAAGGGAATTGGAAGCCTTCAAGCCATCACTCAAAGGAGAATTTCCCCATTGAACCTGCTAAAAAAATTAGGTTGGCAAAGGGCAAGGACATGCAGACTGGAGCTCGTACTTGAAAATTCGAAATATGTCTGGGGCTGTCAGGATTATAAATGTCTAACGTATTGCGGGGCGTATGCATAATATTGTAACACTTTGGTGGCCACTCACGTAGACCTTTTGGCGATTAAGTGAATTCAGGGCAGGCCAAACAAAAATTAAATAATAAAAAGTCACCACTTGCCGTAAAAAAATCCACAGTGGCAGTTGCGATTGAGAATTTGCATTTTTAGCATTTTCCATTTGCATTTTACATTTGCTGCATATTCATGCGGCTGTTCAGCGAGTAACTCGGAGGAAAAGTGGAAAAGCGAGGGAAAAACGGGAAAGTAGAGGGAAATATTTCTCAACTGTTGCCATTGTTGCAACTTTTCGCTTGACAATTGTTCGCTAATGAAACGCGTTTTCAAGTTCGCCAGTGAAAAGGGAGAAGTATTATTCACTCGTCGATGTGGAATGTCCATAAACGTGCATATTTGCCCAAACGATTATTATACATAGTAGGTACATAAGTTCGTGTGCAAATACTTTCAATATTATTTAACGCCATTTAATGTTCCCTTAACAAGTGAGTGCGAGCCGCGAAATTGCTTGGACAATCAATTTACCCGTGGCGGTGGCTCACAAAGGATTGTGTGTGCGTGTGGGCATCCACTGTCTAATTAGAATAAACTCTCGGATTTTTTAAACAATTAAAAGTTAACTTAATGGTAGGCGGTAAAGTGAGACGCAGTAAGATGAGTTAATTGCTACAAATACTGCCAGCATCGTAAATTGATAAATAAATAGGTCATATCTGTGTCATCATTCAACCAAAAAGGAATTACAAAATTAGTTATTGAGGAATTTAAAGAACAATAAGTTCTATTAAAGTTTTGATTTGATTTTGATTTTCGTTTTCAATCAACAAACTTATCGCTCATTTTTGACAGAAATAAAATGAAAGCAATTCAATCCGGGTAAATTCAATTTAACGTGGCGCTTGAGTTGACAGAGTCTAGTTTTCATGAGAGGTTTTTTTCTTTTATTCAGCAAAGTGTTTGGCGTGAGTTTCCACCTCAGTGATCATGTGGCTTAATAAGTTGCGGTGGGTTGAGTACGATTTAAGCTAAATAGAAAATCAACAAATTGGCAAAAACTAAATGCTGAACAAATCTAAAGTGTTGGCCAATCAATTAAACTATTGTTATTGCTTAAATTGAAAGTGGATTTCAATTGATTAAAAATACAAAAAAAAAACCTAAAGGTTATATATTTATTTGTATAGACTACTTAATTACAAAATGAATATTCACCTGACATGAAATTGGCAACTAATGCAAGGCACACGGCATAGATGAAGATAGTTGTTGACATTTTTGCGGTTTTTCTTTCGGTTTTATCCAACGCAGATGCTGTAAGAAGTAGTAGAATTTTCTATTTAATTTATCTAATTCTTTTTTTGTTTTTGTGTGTGTTTGTAATTTGATTAGCATTAAACACAGCGATCTGTTCATTAGCATTACTTCAGTAATATTTATAATCTATAACACATTGTATTCGATTCTTATTTACACTAGTAAACCGGTATCAGAACGTGGCCTGCAAACGTGACAAATGCTAATATTGTACTAATACAACTGTTTGTTTAATATTTAAATAGATGTGATCGTAAATGTGCATATTTTCTTTTATTAGTTAAAAAGAATACATTTTTGCTCTAGTTTTTCTCTTCCACATATTTATGATGTGCTTGAAAAATTTAAAGGATTTATTTAGGCTATTTTACTTTATCAGAAATTATTAAGCTTATATTCACTCTTTTAAATCATTTTATTAATTATCGTTGAATGCTTAAATGTCACTAAATGTATTTTACTTTAATGTAATGTTCGTATTTAATATCCGTTTTAAATAAAATTGTGATTCAAATAATTATTGTATATTTTTTGTTATGCCTTTAATCACCTTTGAAAAGTTGAATTGAAGGCCACAGAACTCTTTATGGTCACAAATTGTTACAACACACAAGTATTCTCACACGAGTGGATTATTGTTGTTCAATGCGAGGGGACAACTTGACGCGAGCACCGTCGAGATGAATCTGAAAACTCGTATTTAACATTTCGAAAAACGTTGAATTTTCAAAAAGCCAGCTCAGCTCATCCACAAATGAGAGCCGAAGAGAGCGAGTGGAAGAAAGAGCGACTCCAACAACAAGATCGACCCTAAAGTCGGCAAATGGGAAAAATGGAAAAACTTCCGTCACTCGATCGTCTTTACGGGGTCGTATTATTATTATATTAAATAATCCATATATACATATATAGAGAGGGGGATGTTGAATGCTATACAAGGTAGTTCGCTCGCCGCATTGATAAGCTCTGGCTTCGGTTGGTTTCAGCTTGGTTCTTAACCCAAAAACAAAACGCCGTCCAAATGGAATCCACCGGCTTGAACCGGTTAAGTCCGACGTGACGTCACTGCCAAACAGAAAAAAAAAAATGTATTCAAGTATTAACCGAATTATGTCTCATTATCTGACATTAGACTTCAATTTAAAAGTTTTTAAACCTTTAAACAGCCGAAGAAATGATTTGTTTGTGGTTCTATTAAAGGGGTTTAAGGCACAGAGAGAAAAATTTATAAGCTGTATATTTAAAATAATACAAAAAAAAGTAAAAAACAATTTAGGAGATATATTTTCAAGAGTTTATAATATATCTTTCTATACTTAATATAAATTAAATTAAGATATTTATTTAAATTATGGCAGAAGTCACTAGGAAGGTAAATATTTTTAAGATAAATATCTTTTATAGGTATTGTAAAAATTAATAATGTTGTTGTTATATAAATAAACGTTTCAATTATAAAATCGAAAAGCTTTAATATTGAACCCATTTTTTGGTGTTAAGTATCAGTAATAAAAATAACATAAATTAAAATATAATAAAACTGATGTGTATTTAAGAACCTTTTCATTGACAATATAAACAATCCTTATCTGGCAATATAAAAACTGTAGAACAATTTCATAAGAAACTACATTTCCTTGTCAATGGGTCCATGATCGGAAGTCCTAAATCAAATCTTGGGCTCGGCCCGCGATGTCATTGCCTCTAAAACATTTTGCTGTTGAGTGATCAGTTTGGTTCCGGTGAGCTGAGCACGTTCCATAACATGGACTGTACGAGTACTACACTTTATAAAGCGATTTCCTTATCAACGGAGCTGATTAGTTAAAACTGGTTCGCACCTCCAAAAACTCAGCTGTGGTGGTTTGGTCTAGTCCGCATCGGTGACGAAGTCAGACTTCTAGACTCATCCTCATTTTAATTGAGGAAAACAGTGGTGTTGATAGGGAGGACGGAGCTCGAGCTTATCTGTCCTAGTTCAAGGCAGTTTGGGCAGCAGCAGTTTCGAATTCTTGACTCATTAAAGTCTACGTTACTTTGCTGCATTAATTAGGTGTCCGATTCTGCAAGCAATGCAACTAATTTGAAATTTCCACGCTGCTTTGTGTGAAGAGCCAAACCAAACCGAATAAATTCAGTGGTCGACCGTTCAGTGGTCGGTTTTAGCCAGTTTGAAGCGGTTGCATGGCCATAAAATAGTGCAACATTTTTTAAAACATTTTTAAGAGCAACAAAATAAAAGAAGATTTAAAAAATATTACACTCCCTTGCTTTAAGTGATTAAAAAAAATGGGAAAATTAAATTCAAATACTTGGCTAACAATGTTTTTTAAAGATTTAGCGTTTTTAACTAACATGGAAACTTGTTATGAATAGTCAACAAAAAATGATTTCTGTAAATACATGGAATCAAATGCTTTAAATTGAATATCGATGCGTTTAAATGTACAATAATTGAGACTCGAAAAAGAAACCTTTGCTTTGTATTATACAAATTTAATTAATCCGTTTTAATAGTTTGCAAAACTTACAATAATTTATTCCTTGTTAATACTTTGATTGGTAATTTCAGAATTCCATTGGCCGTAGAACCAAACTGCTGCAAATCCAACGGGTAACTGAGGTCTGTGAAAATATTGTCTTCGTCTTTAGGCAAATGGCATTGGGATCGTATCGAAGTCAGAAATCAGCTGATCAGCAAGCATTATTGGAAGGTCAGACTGGGATTCGAATATACCTACATAAGTACAGAACAAATCCAAACAGATTCTTGTTTGCTGGAACCGGTTTGCTGTTTTTTTTTTGTTCTAACAAATGATTTCTGGAGTTGTTAGTCCCCTGCCCTTCATTTCAACTGTCAGAACAAAAGATTAATTGCGCATAAAAAAATAAAATTAAATTTTAACCAGATCAAACAAAAAGTGAATAAAAGAATCGCAGTTTTTTGGGGTTAATGCTCTAATCAAAACAAGGGGAAATTCAAAGGCAAGGGAAATAAACCAATATTTTGTTAGAGAAAGCTTTTAGTCGGTTCCACAACTTGTTAGAAGCTAGCTTTAAAGCTTAAGATTTGTAAGCTTTAGCTTTAGTTAGTCTCAATGTTATTTAAATTTAAGCAATTTGTTGCTTAATATGTTAGTCAACATTTTGATTACTGGTACTTTAACCCCAAATCAAAGACAGAACTCTTTTCTCACTAAAGCTATTTATAGACACAAACATAATTTAATGACATCAATTGAGGGAGATTCCACTGCAAAGAATAAAATATTGAACTTAGTTTTACTTAGGTTACCTGAAGCAAATTAATATTTAATTAAAGATAAATTGGGACTTTAGTAAGGTCTATTAAATCTATAAAATATATATTTTGACTTGGATCATAAGCTTTGAGATATAAGGTGTAAAAAATGCAAATAAACCTGTTTATGTGTTCAACCTTTATTAAAATATCAGCCTTTTTTAAACCATAACTATTACTTTGACTTATTATTTTCTGTGTAAGTACAAACTAGTCTGGGAGACTGGGTAAAAACAATCTCCCCAAAGGGCAATCTTCCCCCATTGCTGTCTTCAATTTCGCGCACTGATTGGAGCACAAAAGCAAGCCAAAACGATCTGCAAAAAAAAAAAAAAATATATATATACATAAATAGTTTAGTGAGTGAAAGAGAGACTTAATTCAATTGACCAGCGTCTTGGGGCAGCAATTTGTGCGACTTTGTGATGAGCTCCAAGAGGAAGCCTGCGTTTAAGCTTAATTAATGCACCGGCCAGATTTATGCTTAGGTTGTGCGACTTCTCCGGCTGTTCACGTGTGCGTCTCGATCTCCCGAGGTCTTAACTATAGATTAAGTGTCTGGACGCCTAGTTGAAATGGCGCTCAGGGTTGTAAGTGGATGGTCCATCCAGTGATCCACTGCCTTTGTCTAATTGCAGGCTCTAATTACGAGTACTTAAATATGCATAAATAAAAAATAAATCAAACAAATCTATCTCGAATAGAATGGCAATATATATGTTTTGTTTTCTTCCTCATACAATAAATTGTTTTTAAGGAACACTACTAAAACTACGAGTTTTAACAACTACAAATTCTTCTGAGATTTATATATAATAAGAGCAGGCTGTTATCTCCTCTTTCAAAATTCTCTGGTAATTATATACTTGGAAGTAGATTAGGTTTCAACCGATTCACAACTGGGAAAATAATTCGAAATTACTAAGCTTGCTTTAAAGATTTTATTTCCTCACTAGCTTTGTATGTATGTATGTTTCAAGACCTATCGACCCACGATTAGCCCAGTTCTTTAATATTCAATTAGCCCCTTTCAATTAAGCTATAAATTATAACATTTCGAAATAAGATTTGTAAAAACTATCAGCATATGAAATTTATTTTATGAATAATAAACAGTTTCAGAAAAATAAATGAATGCTTGAAAATATGTATAAGTTTTTAAATAAGTGTTTTAAATAATTCATTTGGATTAAATAAATTATTATCGAAGTATGTTTTTTTTTTTTACATGCAATATATAGTTAATGAAATCGATATCAATAACATTAAAAGATTAAGCAAAATCTTTCTTAATTGAGCTTTAGTTAAAATATTTTCAACTTTTGTTTACTTTCTGGAATTTAAAAATAGTTTCTAAGTAGCTGCATATATATAAAAATATTTATAAATATAAAATAAATATTTTTGTATGACCCAAGCCCTGTGAACTAGTGTCGATTGAGACACTTTTTTGCAGCTACACATTGGCATCTCCTGACTGCAAAAATACACACACCGTGGAAATCGCAAGGAGGACGCACACTCGAAAGCTCGGCGGCGAAAGCTCGATGGCTGCAAGCTGAGAACTGAATTTGAATCTGAATCTGAGGCTGAGGATGCCACCCACTAACCCCCCCGAAAACACCGTACAGCCCATTTCAGCGCCACCCGATCCGATGCGACTCATCCGCCCCGTTGACTGGCCGTCCGCAAGTTGTGTTCGTGGTACAATTGTCGAGTGCGGCTGCTGCTTCGCCCAGTCGTTTGCCGTTTGCCAACCGTTTGCCAGCGTTTTGCCGAGAGCGCTAGTTTTTTGCAAGGAATATATATAAATATATATATTAGAACCAGCCCATGCTCAGCGATAATACCTGAAACGAAAATCTGTGAATATAAGTCGTCTGTGAGCGCCGCACGAAAAAATAAATCCAATTAAAAATTAAATTTAGTGACCAACTAAAGAGTGTTTCAAGTCTATAAAATAACATAAAAAACAACAATGCAGTACATCTATGTGATTAGTGCGCTAATTTTGGCCATCGCCGTGCAGCAAGGTAAAAGGATTTGAGTCGACTACAGGAAGAGTTTCGCTTAAATCGCAGAACGGACGTCCAACATCGCGATTACGATTACATAATAGAAGTTAGTTTGGAATGGGGCAGGTTACTGGGGTGCTGCGAATTGGGAGAGCTGCTGGCGCCGTCCTGACGCCACTGAAAACCAGAGTATCTAGAGTTTCTAAGCCGGCCGCCGTGGCGCCTTTTTGTCCACCCCACTGAGTAATATTTGCATTCAATAGATATCAAGTCGGTTGCTTCCTTGAGCTCTCTGAGAAAAAAGGACTTTTTTCTCTACTTCATTTGTTGGCTCTCTGCCCACAGCTTTTTCCTGGGCTCTTGGAAAATAAAGAGAGAGGGAAGGGGTTTTCCCTGAGGTCGTTGCCAGTTGACAGCTTAATTAAGACAGATAATGATTAGCCCACACTATCCTATCATTTCACAAAGGATAATCCCTGCGAACTCGTGTTATCTCAAGTTTCCTTCCTTCCTTCTTTTTTTGAAAATTCCTTCCTTTTTGTACTTTTCCCACATATGTGTGTATGTGCAAGGATAATGTAGGACATGCGCACTCTATGTGGTTAAGGGTCCTGGGGGCCAGTTGCAGTTATCCGATACCCAAAACCCAAATCCGCTCACAGACTTATATAAAAATATGTTTTAATTAAGCTTAATCTTTGTTTTGCAAAATAACTGCTTTATTTCGTATTCGTTTTTGTTGAGGAATTTCTTTGTACAATATATAACATATTTACCTCCATCTTTTTCGCGTTCTATGCAGTTTAATCAATGCAATTTACGACTATTTATAGACTGTAACAAACCTTAATTGGTCATGACTAAGTGTAAACAGTGGGGAAAATTGGCTATGTTGTGGCAACATTTTCTAAAGGTTTTCTCTAAACTTTTTTAACAAGAAATAATAGAAAAAGTATGGTTTGTTATATTTTCAAGTAATTTTTTTTGCATTATTAGCATTATTAAAAAGTTATAATTATGTGTTAATGTCGAAGGGTTTTTAAGTAGTTTAAAAAAAATTATTAAATAATTTGTGCCACCAATAAATATATATTTTATACTGTTCGAAGGCCCCACATATGTTTTGGTTTATATTTCTTATTCCTAAATGCTGCTATAGGGTCCTAGTAAATTACTAACATAGCTCCTTAATTTCTTAGATGTACTTTTTTCGCAACCATATGCTGCTATTCCAAGAGGAAAAGCAAGTTATATCAATCAATAAGCTTCCACAACTCTTCACACCAACCCACTCTTTTTGGGACTCCCTTTTAGCATACTGCATTCTTTTGTCTTGATGATGTGCTTCTAGCCCTCAGAGTATCTAGTCTATGGGCCACCCCGCAGAGTGGTACATCTTACAGTCGGCCTTTTCCATTGTTCTCAAGTTTCTACGCCCAGAAGCAGGCAACACATTTTTCCGCCCCGCTTATGCAACCCAAATTGACGGAGACAAAATGGGCAGTGGAAGTATTCAGAGGCGATGTGAAGTGAGGCAAAGTTATTCGAGTCCATTAGCAATGTCGATGTCTCAATTAGCGAGGCCCTCCGAAGAGCCTCGCAGTCTGTCACTAATGGAGGCGTCGATGGATTCGACGGAATCTCTGACATCTCCATGCCATTGTGCCATTTTTGGCACAGCTTGAGGCAAAAGCGCATCGCAGGTTGCACCATTTGGGGGCGGATGAGGGGGCGGGACAGGCGGTACACAGTATAGTATTTCCAGTCCGCATATTAAATAATGCGAATCTCGTGTCGCGCACGACCTTAAATTCAATTTAGCTAAGGCAGCGACAGCGATCACAAGTTCCCGAGAAATCTCTTTATATCTGGGCAAAGCTCTCATATTTGTTTACACGGTTGTTTCCTTCATATTCACTTGTTTTGTGAAACTATTAAGGTTAGACATAGGATGCCAATGGAATTTTTTCTAATTGACATTAACTATTGCTTTTGTGGTCAATTAAGTGAAAGATTGCATTGAAAGGAAGCAAAAAGGGGCAATCGAAAGGTATATATGCACTTAGGATGCGCAAATGCAATTATGGTATTAGATTGCAGAAGCAATTAGAAAAACTAAGTGCTTTTAAGGGCATGATAAATGACTTAGGACATTTAATAAAAAAAATGCTGAGTTAATAACGGCATTCAATTAAAAGGCTTAATTAATATACAATTTAATTTAAAATGATAACTGAAAGCAAAAAAATACAAAATACACATATAGGTTTATATGTGTATGACAAAGATGTCATACGCATTTCTAAAATTTGTGATTACTGGCCACAAACAACAGGGCAATATATTTGCTGTTTTTATTTTTGCACTTTTTATTTTATTTTTCTTTACATTTTAAATATTATTAAAAATTAATTAATTAATTAGCTTTATATTTATGGCAAATAACTATTATCAATCTATAGACTTAATAAAACCTTTTAATGAGCTAAGAAAGTAGTGATGATCGCAACCTCAAGATATACAATTACTTATAGAAACTTTATGTCAAATAGAAAACTAAAAAAAAAGTTTTGGCTTTCAAAAATTTTATAAAATATGTTCTTAAAATAAAACTAATTTAAAATAAATTTTTAAATTAATTTTTGTATATATTTTTCTTAGGATATGCCATCAAGTGCTTTGTCTGCAACAGCCACAAAGATGCCAACTGTGCGTTGGACATACCGCCCGACAACTTGCTGAAGGACTGCGATGAGCAGTATTCGTCCCGAGGCAAGGGGATTCCCACGTACTGCCGCAAGATCACGCAGATCATTGAGTTCTCCGTGAACAGCCGTGAGTAGATAAGCGGAAATAAAACCACAGTAAAAAACCAATGTTACCCGGGATAATCGAATTGCAGTGCCTCCGGATAGCCGTGTGATAAGGACCTGTGCCTATCAGAACCAGACCTCCACCAACTACTGCTATCAGCGGGCCGGGTTCGGAGGTCGCCAGGTGGTCTGCTCCTGTGATACGGATAACTGCAACGGAGCCGGGGCGATGGGCGCCTCAGCGGTGGGCGTGGCAGCCATGGTGGGTCTCCTGCTGAGCGCCCGCCAATATCTACAGCGTTAAGAACGGAATCGAGGGAATCCCTCAGTTGTTTTTGTTTGTTTTATCGATGCATCCACCCAGTTTTCGTTTTTCGTATATGCTGCTGACTCTTTGACTTCTGTGACACTTTCACCGCTTTCTCCCCCCTCTCATCATCAAACAAGGTCCACTCGCAGAGCTGCTCCAGAGTCTGGTAATATAAAATAATGCTCCTAAAGTTAATATAATTATTGATAACATACCGATTTCAGCTCTGGTCCAGCCTGATTTTGTAACATTTTTTGAATGGAGAACCGTAAAAGCTTTATACAAAGTATTAAATAATAACATAATTCCCTAATTAGAAGTGTATATAAAACCAAAGAGAGCAAGTAACAATTGGCCAATATAATCGTTTAAATCTATTTACATTAACTGAATTTTTGAAACTAACGTATTAAACGAATGCAGAAGCAAATAACGATATAAAACTAAAACCTACCGCAGTTGAAAGTATTTAACAAAACGAAATAAACCAATAAGTCAATGGAGGCCACAAAAAGCTAACAATGTTAAAAATTAAGGCTACCAAAATGAAAAGTAGTACATAAAACCATAAATGTTAACATTCTTCGCCTAAGTTTCTCCCTTTTTTATTTTCATAAGACTTAAACCAAATTTCTAACAAGCAAGCTAAATGTCGGCAATAGCTAAAAATAATAAATAAAGTATTTGAAAATAAATCTCAACGAGGAGAACACACTTCATAGAATAATTAGCAAGCAATTGGGAGAGGAGGAAAGTCGTCCGAGGAAAACCAAAAGATAGTTGTGACACGCTTAGGACCGACGACCACGCCCATATCTATCGCACTCCCAAGGGATTAAAAAAACACTCGTTGTTGTAACCAACTGCCAAAAACGGAAAACTTTGAAATCGTTTCATCTACCGCATAGGCAACACCCAGCAAGGATACACCACATCTATGGGATATCTCATATTTGAGTAGAGGAAACACCAAATGAAACCTTTTGTCCAACGTAGCAATAAATGCAGATGCAGATGCAGATACCAAGTAAAACATTTAACACGTTACAGAAACCAAAGCAACAAATACATCATTTTTAGTTCGTATAGCAAAATAACAGTTTATAGTAAAAATTTTTTAGTTAAGAATCTCCTCTAAAATGCAATATTTATAATGCAATAAAATTGTAAAATGTTTAAAGTGAAAAACAATAAATATGAATACAAAACTCGAATGTTTTTATTGCCCAGAGATGATTGTCTAAACTGAAATGCAGTTTATTATAAAAATTGCTTCCAAAGAGTAATGTTCCCTTACAAATTTTCAAATTTTAAATTTTGGAATAGATTTTAAAATTACAGCACAAATGAAGCAACCATGGTATGTTTATTTTAACAAATTTAAAGATTTGCTTACATTATCTTTACGAATTCATGACTGCTATTTTTGGTATTATTGCTAGTTGAAAACGTTTAATTTAATAAAAATTATACAGAAACAAGCGTTTTATTTCCCTGGTTTTTAAATTCAACAAAATGTAAGAAACTTTTGCTTTGGCTTAAATATTTTAGTCATCTTTATCAAGACAAGGAAGTTTGAGGTAAATACAGAATCCCTTTGTGGGTCGTACTAAATTTTAATGAAATACAGAAAAAAAAAACCTCTCAAATTAATTAGAATGAGGTAAAATTCCGTGAAAAGAATACCTAAGCAAGCAGCTAAGCGAAGCAGATTGTACATTCCACTTGATAGACCTGACTTTTAGTATAGGTAAATGGATTACAAATAGACGGGGCTAAGTGTTCAAGGTTGGGGCAGCTAGGAGTCCTTGTGGACCACTCTTTTGAGGGCCAGGAAACAGTGGCGGGTGCTCAGATCATGATAGCCCACTGGTCCTCGCTCGCAATCCGCACAAACCAGGAACTTCCTGCCATCCACCGTGTTGGAGAATCCAATATTCTCGAACATCATCATGTCCTTGACCAGCCAAAAGTCCTTCAGTGGCTCGCTGTTCAGACTGTCCGCCGTCCTGTCCTGTTTTTGCATCATCAGGGGCACTTCCACCTGGCCGCAGCAAATGTAAACAATTGGAGTCTGATTGGAATGGAATTACAAACCCCGGCACTTACTTCCTCCTGGCTGTAGGTTCCCTCTTGGGCCTTGAGCATCAAACTATTGCAGAACTGGCAGCGCACATTTAATATGTTCTTTCCATTGGATATTTGCTCACTAAAATCAGTAACCTCCGTCATTTTTATAGATTTGTCTTAATTTTGTTCTAAACGAAATGCATTAAGTGTAGTGTTAAACAGCGCAAGAATACGGAACTTCTCCTTGAACAACACTAATTCGTTGAACGGTTACACTTGATTTATCGATAGTCGATAACTATTAAAGCCATTAAATAAAAAATTCAAAAATAAGGAACTCTGCCGTTTTGATCCCACATTTAAGATTTTATAAAAGCAAAACCACATTTTGTTGGTTTTACACAAGTACTTAAATTTCTATTGTTTATAGTTAAAGTGCATAAAAAGAATGTGTTTAAACTAAAAAACCGTTTAACTGTTAAAATAGCATTAAATTTAAGATTGAATTTACTTAAAATAGTTGACATCATTAGATTTATCTGTTACCATGACATATTAATTAATTTATAATAACCAGTACATTTCCCATCTCTATTTAAATTATATGGTCCCACTGAAAGCACGCCATAATAAACCGATTTGCGATAACTCCATCGATAGCTCGACAACTCTGGTGACCGTTTTCAAATGAAATTTTCTTTCGTCTTTTGACTTCCAACGGAGCAGACTGCTCTTCCTCTTGACCAAAACTACGGCACCAGCCACTGGATAAACCAGAGATACCAATACATTTGTCTTTGTAAGTTTCTTGACAGGATTAAGCAATCCACGTGCGCTTAGTAATTGAAAGCTAACCTCAAAATGGCTGAAATGTTAAACAGCTTTTCAGTTTGCTTTGGTGATTTTTTTTTTTTTTTTTTTTTGCAGTCTTAAAACTCGACTCGTGGCAGGATAATGAACGTTCGCATCTTCCAACTGCCCTCGGTGACCATGCAATCGATGCACCAGCAATCGATGTACCAGCAGACCTACTTGGATCGCAACCGCATGGTCACCGACGTTTTTGTGCAGGAACATGTTTCGCAGAGCTCGTGGTCAGTGACCACACCTCGTGTGTCGGCTGTGTTTGTTCCCGGCTCTGGCAGCTGCCCCATCATGACCGGAAATGCATGTCATCCCAATTGGCATGCGAATCCTCCACCTCCACCGGCTGCATATCATCATCATCATTCTCCTCCTCCTTATATGGCCTATATGCCGATGCCGGGTATGCAGCACTATGCAGCCAGTTCTGGTGTGTTATACTAGCCCCAACAAGACTGATATTTCACTATATTCCCTTTGCTCCCCATCAGCCTCCATGAGCGCCTACGGTCAGGGTCAGGTGTATTCCGCTCGTGCCTCGGCCACCAGCAGCTGCAACATGGCTGGTTTCTATGTGCCCCACTACTATCCCAGTGGTGATTATGCTCCGCCGCCCAAGCAGTTCTGTTCCGCCCAAACCCAGACCCAAGAGCCCATCAAACTCAGCTGCGATGCGGCCACCCAAGTGGATGTGGGCCTCGAGCTATCTCGTTTGGAGGTAAAGAAGCCAGGAACAGCTTTATTTTCGGACAGGTAAGTCTAACATGGTCTATCCTTACTTTTGCTCTTGAATACTATATTCCCTACATTCAAAATAAGTATTAAACTCTTTTGTATTTCTTACCAAAACATCCTTTAAATCCTTTAAATATTAAGTCATATAATATGTATTCAAATATAATATATAACAATTTTTTTTAACTAAAATTCATTTTTAATTAAGATACATGTTATTATCATGGTATAAGTCAAAGCTTTTATTTGGTGTTTTGGTCAATAGCCTATAATAAACCTTAAATTACTTCTAGAAAACTATTTCCAATGATCAATATCTTTAAAAATAATACAGTCTTTCAAAAAGTAAGTTATAAATTTTTGACTTATTTATTATTTTTAAACTTTATTCTCTGTTCCAAATACTTCTTACCATTTTTTTTTTTAATTTGATGTATGTACCAAAAATTAAAAAAAAAAAGGTACATTTTTATATGCCGAAATAAATTTTTCAAATAAAATAAATTTTTTTAGTCTTGTCCCCGATGAATCGAGTATCAGTTCCTTGGAAAGCGGTGCCGGCGATGGCCTGCGAGTTCAAAATGTGGGGCGCAACTCGGAGGTGATGTTGCTCCAGCAGCGCCTCCACGACATGACCAGCATTTCACTGCAGGGCAGCGAGATAGCGGAACGTCTGGCCAGCGCCCATCGCAGTCGTCCGTGCTTCAAAAAGATCGATACCCTTTGTGCCCGCCTGAAGCAGGATCTGTTGCGTCCGGACGGCGTGCTGCCCAACATCAACTCCCAGGGAATCGCTTGGGCTGTCAAGGATTTCATATTCGTCTTCACCCGCATCGTGAATGCGTGGGTTATACTGAAAGGCTATGTTTACAACACGCCCGATGGTTTGAACAAGATCAAGGATGAGTTACCCGCCGGTTTCATGGCCACTTTTGATTTGTGGCAGGTTTCGACCTTGTCCCTCGTTCAGTTGATTATAAAATCCTTCGTCAATCTGGACGAACTCCTGCAGAAACAGAAGAACACCTTTGGGGGCAAAGATGCAGGCGCTCTCATGAACCTGAATAATAGCAGCTCCTTAAGGATTTTAATCGACAGCAACGATAGCAGCAGTTTGGTCACAAACAACCAAGCAGTGACTAATAGTCATTCCACTGGCCCAGGAATAGGCCCCAGTGCCTATAGCACTCCACGGACTCAGAATGGTGTGGGCATCTCCTTTCCGGAAAGTCCAGAGTCACGGGCCGGGACAGCAACAGCCCCTGCTCTATACAAACCACAGGGGGGACTAAATTTGAAATACTTGTACACCATGATTGAAGACTCCGAGGAAACGCAACGCAATGTGGATGCCAATGGTACTTATCTGAAAACTGGAACCTATCAGCCACTACAAAAAGAGACGAAACAACTGGAGATGCCGCAACTGAAGCCCAAGGATCCGTATGAGGAATCCAATCATCATCAGTGGAATGCTCCTCAAAATGCCTTGCCAGTTCCAGCACCGATGGCGGAAAAAGCTCTTCCGGAACCGGAGCATCTGAATGATGTTAGGGCTTTTACGAATCCATTTAGCCTGATCGGAAGGGAGGTCACTCGCCAGCTGTACGAGTTTGGCAACCGGCTCATGGAGCTTAAGCACCTGGAACGCTTCTTTCGCAAACAGTTCACTCGCAACTATGTCAGTAAACTTAGTTAAAGTCTTATTTACTAAAATTATTACCTCACAACTACGATTTTAGTATCCGGAATTCGTTCAAATCTGCCAGGACGAGTTCATCGATGTACGTGCCATTATTTTGCGGTGCGAGAGTGCCTCTTACCATCATCTCTACCAGGCAATTCACGATCTACGTCGAATCACCTTCGCGGGGCGCTGCTATCTGAAGGTATTGAAGGTTTAATTCCACGCACACCCGTCTGCCTTACTCTAAACTCTGCTTGTTTTTGAATATTCTACGCTGCTGTTTTATAGGTCAAGGAAATATTATATATCCAAAGTCAAGGTATCAGTATGAGTTTGCCATTTAATGGACTAATGTACTAATCACTGGTCTCATTCGGGCACTAATCTCATATATAACACTCATTAACCAGCACAAGCCATTTAACAATTAACAGAACAGCCATAGCTTTTGATTACTTACACTCACTCCCGTTTCATTGAAATCCTAGGTGTACTCGGACGAAAACCTTCAGCACTACATCGATCTCTACGAGCGCTCTGTGAATGAAATGCTGTCCAAGCCACCGCATATTCCCAATCAATTTGATCACATTAAGGGCATGCCAGGCGAAAAGCTTTTCAACTATGAAATCTAGTCGAAGAAACCCTAGTCATTATTAAGTTGGTTATTGATTGAAAGTTGGCCCATTCAAGCGGCCTCTTTATCTATACCAATTTAAAGATTGCGATGTCTATGCAGAGTCAATCAGTGCCTTAAACTGAATTGGAAAAATCGCCAATTTAGTGTTCAACTAAACAACTGATTCATTATAAGTATAAATTACCTTATTTCTAAGTTTCAACATTTCAACAACTGTGTTTCGGTCGCAACAACTAGTCAAGCATGTGATTGAAACAAAGCATCTATTTTATAATACAATATATATATATTTGTTTTAGCGTAACAACTTTGTACGGAGCTAACTACTCTTCACTACAAAAATAGCTTGTCAATCAAATTCATATTTGTACAATTAAATAAAGCTAGAACAATGGATGTTAGTTTTCGTTTGTTATTTGTTAAGTAAACTCAAAATGGAATCATAAGTTAGGAACACAAGTACAAAATACAAATTAAAAGAAGGACAATAAATTAAATCATAACAATTGACTTATATACAATTGGATCTTTATAGTCTATACTTAGTGCTAGTTCGGTCTGGAGAAATCCTCTGGATTAATGTCCTGGGCGAGTAGCATTCCATGAAAAATGGTTGAGCTATTGGAGGCCAGATCTTTGGGTTTGCCTTCCTCACAAATCCGTCCATCATCCAGCACTATTATCCGATCCATGGCGTGAAGTCCCCGCAGCCGGTGGGCAATGAAAAGCAGAGTGCAACTCTTGAAGGCATTCCTTAAGGCCTGCTGAATGCTCAAATCGGATTCATCGTCCAGGTTGGAAGTACCCTCATCGATGGCCACCACCTTGGCGTTTTTGAGCAGCGCCCTCGCCAAGCAAAGGAGTTGCCTTTGTCCAGCGGAGAGGTTGTTGCCACATGCCTCCACTTGGCCATCCAGTCCGCCCAACTGCTGGACGAGCAGAGTGGCCGCCGCCGAGTTTTTAATGGCGTTCCAAATCTCCGAGTCGTAGAAGCTATGGCGCGGATCCAGGTTTTCGCGCACAGTGCCTGGAGGAAGGGGTGCACGTTTTCAATAAGTTTATCATGATAAATAATATGCAAACTGACCTTCGAAGAGGAAGGGCTCCTGGGTGATAACACCTATCCGTTCCCTAAGGACACTCAAAGCCAGAGTTTTGAGATTGACCTGGTCCAATCGAATCTCTCCTTGCGACAAAGGTGCCACTCGCAGGAGGGCAGCTAGTACAGATGTTTTGCCAGCTCCAGTGCGTCCCACGATGCCAATCCGCTCGAAGGCCTCCGTTTGGAAGGTTATACCTTTTAAAGCCGGTACCAAGTGCTCTCTATAACTGAGCTGTACTTCTCGGAAACTCAGAACTCCTTGGGTGGGCCATCCAAATGGAGGATCAGCGCTGCCGGAGGCATTCTGCTCTTCATCCAACTGAAGATACTGGTCTATGCGCTCCACTGCGACCAATTCCTGCTCCGTTTCAGCCACAGCATGCAGAAGATCACCCAGTTGACCAGTTATGGAGAGAGCATAGGAGATGCAGAGTCCCACCAAGCCAGGATTGGTGGTGTGCGAGGCGGTAATTGCTGCCAGGAGACCTGCACCACCAACCAGAAGTGTTCCCAGCAACTGCAGGCGAAGAGCTAACCACTGCTGAGCAGCCGATTGTGTCAACTGAGCCTTAATGCTCTCCTCGAGCTTCACTTGGAAATCCCTTTGGAATCTCGGACTAGCACGCATACTCCTTATCGTCGTCAATCCCTGAAGTGTCTCCGTGAATTGCGTGTAGAGCGGTGACATGGCATTGCTCGATAGCCGTTTGATGTCCCGCGAGGCGTGGCGATAGCGCTGCTGTAGATTCAGGTAGATCGGTACCATTGGAATGATCACCAGACCCAGCCAAGGCATCGCATACAGACTGACACAGAGAGCTCCCACTAAGCCGGCAAGTTGCGCCAACAGAATATTCAAAATGAAGGGCAGGGAGTCGTCCACCGTGTTGGTATCCGATGAAAAACGATTCAGAATGCGACCCACAGAGGTGATGTCGAAGAAATTGAACTTGGCCTGCAAAGCATCTTGTTAATACGAGATTCCTTAGTTATTTAAAGCCACTAACTACTTACAAACATGACCTTCTTCAAGAGCTTCTCGTGCATAAAGATGGCTGCCTTTATGCCAGCATAAGCAAAGAGAAACGCCCTTGCCAGGGTCACCAAGGAATTGCTCACTGCGATGGCTGTGAATATGCTCAGATAGAATCCTGTCGTGTGTCCCGATCCCGTTTCATTTCCCATCGCAGATCCCAGCAATTCATGCGCCAGTGAAGTATCATTTTGATGAGGATCCAAAGTTGTTTCTGTGACCCAATAAGCCAGCCAGGCATCACTTAGATTCCTCGTCAATTGCATGAGCAATACAGACAGCAATACAGTAATGGCCAGTGGAGAAGTCACTGCCTTCCAGTAGCAGGCGAAAACATTCCCTGAAAGATGTCCGTACTCTCGGGATTCCTCCAAAAGCAGACTATCCACACTCTTCTTGTCATCCTGGTTGGACAACTCCACTGAACGTCGCCTAACTGCTTCGTCCTGGTCATCATCCACTTCTTCGTCCAGACTTAGATCAATGCTCTGGGTCATGTATTCACTGGGTAGAAGTTGACCATCCTTCACCTGGAGAATCTGATTGGCGTTAAAGAACAACTGGATGCTTCGTGTGACCACAATGCGGGTTTTGTGCTTAAGCAGCCGCAGAATGCAGTGCTTGATAATGTGTCTGGCCACATGGGCATCCAAAGCGGAGAGCACATCGTCCAGAAGGTAAACTGTCGAATGAAAAATGAGAAATAAGATAGATTAGGCGGTAAAACAAAGATTAACTTACCTTTCTTATCCTGATAAACAGCTCTAGCCAATGCAACTCTTGCCCTCTGACCTCCGGAAAGGGTTCTGCCGTTCTCACCCACGCCAACGAGATCACCTCCAAGGATCTGGAGATCCTCCTCCAAAGCACACGCATGCAGGACAGTTTTATACCACTGCTCATCAAACTGAGCGCCCCAAACGATGTTATCCCTGATGGTTCCCCTTTGTAGCCATGGTGACTGCGGTACGTAGCCAAATCCGGTGGTCAGTTCCTGGACGCAGACCTCGCCATCGATGCACTGTAGATTAGCTACTATGGCGGATAGAAAGCTGCTCTTACCACCTCCCACCGGACCTTCGATGCAAACGAGCTGACCCGTTTTTATATCCACGTTTATATCTTTTAAGCGGAAAGAAGTGGGTGATGTGCTCTCATCACCGTCGTGACAGAAACTAGCGCACTTCATCTGCAGCACACTGGCTTTGGGAGCATCCAAGGGGGCATCGTCTCCTGCTCCTCCCGATCCTCCGCTTCCTCTCATTATGGGATTGTAGTAGGAGGAGTAGTCCAAGTTGGGCACATCCATCAGTTGTTGCACTCTCTTAATGGATACCCAGGCTTCGATTAAACCATTGAGCACCCATGGAAAGGCATTCAGAGGGCCAATGAGCATGTAAAGCAAGGCCACACTGGTGTAGGTCGTTGAAGCTATCAACTGATTGCCCATCAGAACGGATACTCCGAAAGTAAGCAGGCACATTAGCACCGGAGTGGTGGCCCAAAAGTAAACGCACATGGCATCCAGGTATTTCCTCTTCGACAAGAAACGCAGCTCCTTCTGTCGCAGTCCTCGAATCTTGGTAATGAATATATCCTCCCAGGCATTGATCTTGATCTGTTTGGCTCCCTGCATTGTCTCCGTGGTAGCAGACAGCCTGGCATCCTTGGCCGTCATCAAGCCACTTGAATATATGCCAATTCGTTTGGCAAGCCATCTGTTGATGGGAATCAATAGGGCGGCAAACATTACTCCCGCCAGAAAGGCGGCTCCCAACTGAAGATACAACAGGTACAATGTGGTGAAGAGCTTGAAGGGAATGCTCCAGAAGAAGTGGAAACTGATGCAAGAGTTCACAATCCTGTCCGTATCCGTTGACATGAGATTGAGCATATCTGGTTTGGATTCCTTTAAGCCTCTCGCCTCCAGTGCTTTCCTGTATATGGAGTTCACCACTCCCACTCGCATTTTCATGGAAACCATGGCCATGCGCCAGTCAAAATGGGTGGCACAAACAGCCGACAGCAAGGTGCTGCCAAATAGTCCCAAGGCATAGTAGTACACCTGGTTGGGGTCCGTGTGATCCTGTCTGAGAAGTCCCCCGAGCAGCAGAGGCCCTGCAAAGCCACTCAGATCGGCGATTAGTCTAAGGATTCCAATGAGATAAAACTCCACTCCGAAGCATCTGTGCAGTGCTCTCCATAAACTCTGCGATTGGGACAGAGCCAAGTGCAACCTTTCGCTCAATCGCGTGATATTCAGTGCGTCAGGGAGATCAAACAGATCCTCAATCTTTCTCAGCTTTCCAGCCACTCCCTTGGAGATTAGGGGCTGTACCCATTGGAAGAGGAATCGCGATCCCAAGTTAGCCTCATCCTGGGCATGACCCAAGTGGCTCTCATTCAGGTCGAAATGGAAATAGGTATATCGCTGGGTTAGCAGAGCTTCATCCTCTCTGCCGGATGCTCCTCCTCTGGGCAGACTGGAATAAACAGCACTTCCTTTGGGTATCAAGGTGGCTCCAAATAACACATCACAGAGCAGCGTGGCCAGGCTCCAGGGCCACCAATCGAAGTGGCGACTCGTCCGCAACCAAACCCCATCCAGAACCACCACTGTCAGCCAAACGACATTGATTAGCAGCGATCCGCGATGACTAAGCTCTCCATATTGACGGGCCGTCAGTAGGAAACCTGTGGGTGGGGGTTGGAAAGGAAAAGCTGATTAAAGAAGGGGTCATAAATGATTGTTTTAGTGTTATCTTTTTATAGTCAAATATTTGTTTTTGTTCAAAAACAAATGTCCTCTTCTTGGCAAGTCGTGAATGTTTTTATCAGACAACAGAAAACCATGTTTTAAGGTTCTCTAGTCTTTTTTAATTATTTTGTTAAGTATAATACATCAAGAAAAAAAGTGTTATAACGTAGTCTTGGAAAACTCTTGTTATTCCAAAGAGGCAGGATTTTTAATTTAATAGAATCTAAGTATAAGTATATTTTCCTAGTGGTACCGAATAAAATGATAATTCAGCCATATTAATTGTTTTGAAAATAATAATTTTTATAATATTGATAATAAATTTTTGAAAATTAAATTTCAAAAATCTTATTTTCTATATAATTGACAGAGCCATTTTATTTTAAAAAATCTTTCAAAGTAAATTTTTAAATCGGAAATACTAACCAAAAAAGTAGGTTTTTATTGAGACAAAAAAGTTTCAAGATTTTAGTTGGCCCAAAATTCGTTTTATTATGAATTTTTATTTCTGTGCAGTGATCCATTAACCTTCAGTTGAACAACCGAAAAGTGTTAAAGGAAATCCCGGAACGCGGCCGTATGGATATGTACTTAAGGTATTGCATTGAGGTAAACCCCGACGAAGAAAGGCAAACCGCACACTCACCGCTGTGAACCACCCACATAATGCACTCGGCACTAACCACTAGCAGATCGACGGCGTAGAGTTCAACGCCCTGCTGGTGGAAGGCGAACACCTTGGCCACCGGGAGCAGGGCCAGTACGATGGCTAGGAAGGCCCGGATGTACAACATCCGCAGTTGCAGTCCATTGCGGACGACGGGCCGCGACTGATTGCCGAAATTGTAGGCGGATATGGCGGCGAAGATCGTGTAGATGGGCAGCTGGAGCAGGATCTTCTGGAAGCAGGGCAGCAGATCGTTGGTCTCGTTGGCGAACGGCTTCAGTCCCGTGGGACAGAATTGCGTCCAGTTCCAGGCGAAGTCGCCCCAATCAATAGTCGACATCTTGATCGAACTCTTCTACGGGGGGATTCCTCGGTGTTCCGCGCTAGTTTTGATTAATTAGTCATCGCTGGCTGCACATTTGCACCACAGCTGAACCACCGAGAGTGGCGTTAAACAAAGCGATAAACACAACAATTCGACTTCTGATAAAGTTCGTAATGAAAATACAGCGGCTATGTGGAGCCGCAGGGTTGCCAACTTGCGAAATGTTGATGCGCATTCGGCGAGCAGGGTTCTCGATTTTGATTTCTCAAATTGTGGACCTTTTTTAAATTAGAATTTAAAGCAGTTACCAAATAAACCAAATAAATTAAAACTAAAAACTTATGGATAAATACGACGAAATTGTTTTTCATACTCTTCATTAAACCTTGAAAATATTCCGTTCTTAAATTAACCGATTTTAAAATCTCCAATAATGTAGCGGTAAGCAAGAATGGCCCTGCCAACTCGCTGTGAATGACATTTGATGCGAGTAAGAAGAAGCATTTGTTTACATTTTATTCACACTTTGTGCAATTTGCGTAAACAATTATGACGACTGGAGCCGAAGTTGAAGGAGATGATGAAAACCAGGGCAACGCAGGCACCATCCAAAAACCAGAACTGCCCCCGGAACTAATGGACATCTTCAAAACCCTGGCAGAGAACAACCAAATCGTCTTTAAGTCTCAGCAAATTGATGACCCGGAAATTCCTCTCGAGGAAAAACAAGTAATAGCTCGAGAAGTATTCGAGAAGAACCGGGAGAACTTCCTTATTCGATTTGGAGGCTACCTGAATGTCCGACAACTCGGTTCCTTCCAGGACCTGGCCGTCAAAGAGCCCATTAAACCGGACGAGAATCTGGAGGAGATGTGCCTGTTACTGGAGGATTTCAGGAGGAAACTTAGCACTCGATCAGTGTCCATTAAAAATCGAAGGTACCATGCCATGCAGCAGCTCCTGGACAAGGGAGAGTATTTCAGCGAGCACGAGATGATGCAGAGGGCTCCCGATCTCTACCAGGAGCTAGTGGGTCAATATCTAACGGAGGCGGAGAAAAAAGCACGGGATAGTTATGATGTTAGAAACACCAGCTTCTCCGGAATACTCATGCACACGTTGGAAAAAAAGCAAAGGGATGAACTGTTGGAGGAAACACAACAGGAAAACGAGAAGGAAGTGGAGGCCAAGAGTGAACCAATTCCTTCTGCAGATTTTGAAGTCCCCGTGGCTTGCCGAAAACAATGGGGCGGATTTGAGGATGATGAACCCATTGCCTGCTCCACAAGTCGAAATGCAGAAGCGCGGGTTCCAGCAAACATAGCTAACATCTCCACACCAGAGTTCTATAATCCTGGAGAGCGAGAACTGCTAAGAAATGAGTTCCTTAGCATGATGAAGGAACGCTTCCTGAGTGGGGAGGACAAGGACTTTGATTATACAGCCGTGGATGATAATGCCCTGCTCGATGATCTTAAGCAAATTGAGCAGGATGAGGAGGATGCCTATTTTGAGGACAGTGATGATGATGACGAGAAACTGGGGGAGCTCTCAACGGAAGCGAAGGAAGCATCTAGCGAGGATGAGCTGGACATCTACATGAGGCATCTAAGCAATCACCACAGTCTGCAGCACTAGAAGATAATTATAAAGTGTAAAGGGAGGCACATAAGACACCATTGGAAATCCACAGGATACACAACTATCTGCAGTTTTAGCCTTTAATCTTAATCCTATTCTTAGCCTTAACAAATTTTGATCTTAGACACTAGAATACATGCAGTTGTTGAGTCAAAATCTGGCTATCTGGGTCTGCCACGACCACGTGGAAAACCGCGTCCTCTTCCTCGCAAGACCTTGCTATTCGGCGGAGGACTCTTGGGCCTTAGGAGTTCAATCCTACTGGTGCAACCCGTGGCCGGGGCCTCAGCAAAGTAGGTTTGATACAGTTCGGAGTTGAAATTCGAGTTGGTCAGTTCCGGACCCACCGTTAGCCATCCTGGTCGGATGCTTGAGTCCCTGCCAAACAGATGCAAACGTCGCCGACCCAAACAAAAGTGCTCGATGATGTGAAAGATCTCGATGGGCTTCTCGAAGCTGCCAAACTCCTCTTCCTCCGAGATAATCAAATCAATGTCCACGTTGGCATGGATGAAATCACCATCGGTGGAGCGGCGGACAGTTCCCTTGATGCCCATCAGGCAGTGTTCCTTGGTGCGCTGAAAGACGGCTTTCGGCTCCAGCTGCTTGGAGTGGCCGGGCTTGTTAATGTTGGTGCGTATCCAGCAGATATCCTCGCACCGGCGGAATCCCCACTTCTTCAGGCAGTTGCGACCCATGTCCAAGCCCTCGGAGGAGCCGCACCATAAGAACACAAACGAGCGGTGAGCGGCAATCTCGCCCACATCCAAATCTGTCAAAGAACCAAGCTTGTTAGTCCAAATTAAACAAAGTAGGGCTGGTGTCTTACTAAGTATATCATCCCAGTTCCAAAAGACACGAGGAGCTCCACCCACAGTGGCCACCGAAGGCGCTGCCCTGGCATATTCCTCCAGCGGCGGCTCAATCAATATAACATCAAACTTGGCGCCCAGAGTTTTGACGTCTAGCGATTTAAGATCCGCTTTCAAGTACATAGGCGCGGATGCCGTGTCCTGGATGAGTTTGTCCTTAAGTTTAATCAGTTCCCTCAGCTTGGGATACTCTTCGAAGCGGTCGGCCAGACCCACATCGCGGATGAAGTTCTGCGGACGCTGTCCAGTGTCCACAAAGTGCTGGCAGTAGTCATTGTGCGGATTGGAAGACTGGGTTCCCTTGAGGAAGGTGGACGAGTCCCTGTAGATGATTTCATTGGGCGTCTTTTTCGAGGAAGAGGCTCCACCATCATCCTCCTCGCGCTGCCCGCCAGGATTCAGCTGGCGACTGCTGTTAATATCCTCCGCATTGCCCAGGACCTTCTTCAGCTCATCCACGCTGGACAAACCCAGCTGGGGAATACATAATTTATGAGTTAAACTCAGTCACCCACTGTTTTTTTTTTATGTGGCATGGAAACTTACAGTCTGCGCCAAAAGCAAACGCCTTTTGCGTGATCGCTCCTGGGAACTTTTCAGCACATCGCTCATATTTGTAAATGCAGTAAAAACGTAGTAAAATGTGTTTAAATATCGTAATTCTAAGAAAACCTAAAATAAAAGACAACAAAATTCGCCGTCTAGCGACGGCACACTGATAATAGCGGTATCGATAACAATATCGGTAAGACATCGTAAATTTGAAAAATGTTGCAGCTTTATTAATTATTAGCTTGAATAAATGTTAAACATTAATATATATAATAAACTAATTTATTCCGTGAATTGATAAAAATGATAAGCCAGAGGGTCGTTAAAAAGACAAATAGTAATATTTGTTTGTTTTCAAAATCAGTTTATCAAAGATATCGATATTTTCCTTTTCTCAACCATCTCTAAAAAATCGCACAACGTGTCCATTCACAGCGAACGACACACAGGTGCCGCTTGCCATTCACAATCAGCTGCATGCGCCGGAAGAAATATTTTTGAGTAAACGTTTTTTTCGGTGATTTTGGGTTAAAGTAGTGAAATTGTTGACCAAATCGCCTGCAAGATGAAGCTGCTGCACAAGACGCTGCTCAGCGGTCTGCTGGTGGTGGCGATTTTCGCTATTTACGCGGCCGCGCAGGCAAAACCAAAGGTTTGTTTGTGGCCACGTCACTTTTCCCTGGGAGATTCTAGCTCCACTCCGCTAAATGCCGGCTAAAGATAACGCCAACATGGTATTAATGGAAATCAAATACATTTTAGACGGGCCTCTCGCTGTCGGAGAAAGTACAAAACCTGGTGGAGATGAACATGAAGAAGCCGCTGCTCCGCTTCAATGGCCCCAAGTTCCGGGAGTACGTGAAGAGTGCCCCCCGGAATTATTCCATGATCGTAATGCTTACGGCTCTGGCGCCCTCGCGACAATGCCAGATATGCCGGCACGCCCACGATGAGTTTGCCATCGTGGCCAACTCGTACCGCTTCTCCTCCACCTACTCCAACAAACTGTTCTTCGCCATGGTCGACTTCGATGATGGATCCGAGGTTTTCCAGCTCCTGCGCCTGAACACCGCCCCCGTGTTCATGCATTTCCCGGCCAAGGGCAAGCCAAAGGGCGCCGACACCATGGACATCCATCGCGTGGGCTTTGCCGCCGATTCCATTGCCAAATTTGTGGCCGAACGAACGGACATCACCATTCGCATCTTCCGTCCGCCCAACTATTCGGGCACCGTGGCGATGATCACTCTGGTTGCCCTGGTTGGCAGTTTCCTCTACATCCGACGGAATAACCTGGAGTTCCTGTACAACAAGAACCTGTGGGGCGCCATCGCCGTGTTCTTCTGCTTCGCCATGATCTCGGGCCAGATGTGGAATCACATTCGTGGACCGCCGCTGGTACACAAGTCGCAGAACGGTGGCGTGGCCTACATCCACGGCTCCTCACAGGGCCAACTGGTGGTAGAGACCTACATCGTCATGTTCCTGAGTAAGTAGCGGGTTTAGTTAAGTCCCTAAACCATAAAATCGACACAATCAATACATCCAAAAACTTAATTAATTACTTAATCATTAGTTTAAATTTATCTTAGCCCCTATAGAACATAGATTATAAAAACATTGTATCTTCATTTCAGATGCCATGATTGTGCTGGGCATGATTCTGCTGATCGAATCGGGAACCCCAAAGAGCCACAACAAGAACAGGATAATGGCGATGACTGGTTTGGTGCTGCTCACCGTCTTTTTCTCCTTCCTGCTGTCCGTTTTCCGTTCGAAGGCGCAGGGTTATCCCTATAGGTGAGCTATTATAACTCTGAAACTAATACAACATTTCTTTAACTTGACTTTCATCCATTTTTCGCCCACAGTTTCTTGTTCAAATAGAATCGACTGAAGGTCCTGTTCCAGTTCAAGTTCACCCTATATCGTTTTGTAGTTAAAATCACCAGCGAGCACACATTTTTCGTGCGTGTAAAACGACTTTAATAAATTCCACTACTAAATTATTTGTACAAAAATGCGAAATATTTCCAGTCTTCGGGCTCAGAGCAGGAACGGAATGATGGCACGCCGGTTCTTGGGATATTCCCTGAATGTCTCTTTGTACCACTTGTGGGTGAGCAGGGCATTAATAGTCTGATTGCTGGCCACCCAGAGGAAGATGAGCCGCCAAATTCTCACGGGCATGTACAGATCGGCGATGCAGAAGTACATGACCACCTCGAGGAACATGTGCGGCGACGAGAGCAGATTGAACAGGCCACCCTTGGGCAGTAGATGCTTCTCCGTTCTGATGTTGCCCGTCTGCGGATCCTTTCTTAGGTTCACCAGTATCATGTTGCTGGCATATTGCTGCTGCCAGGCGAGGAAAAAGACAACGAGGTAGAGTATTTGCTGGCCCGTCAGCTTGTCCAGGCTAAACTCCATGGGCTGGGAGCCGCGCACAAAGCCGGACGTATTGGATAGTAAAGCTATGATGGCGCCAAAGTAGTGCACATAACCCACGGCATAGTGGGACAGGTTGATTTTGCTCTTTCTCGAGAAGATCTGCACAAAGTTGGTCTCGTAGAAACGCCGGGTGCACTGCAAGGTCAGCATTAGAGTGCCAACACAGGCCGTCGTGGAGTCGATCTCCACTTTCCGGTGACTCCGTCCGCCGCCCATGATGTCCAGGAATCGCAGGACATATTCCGGCGCCTCCTTCTGTTCCCGGACAGTCGAGACAAGCAGATAGAAGCCCAGCCAGCTCCAGAGCAAGGCAAAGACGTAGAAGTGCTTGAACCAGGACTTCGGCACCTCCAACCAGGCCACCAGCGGATCCGTTTCGCCCTTGAAGCTGTGCTTTCCATACCGGAAGGACTGACGTATACTATTCGGCAGGTACTTCTCCACGAAAGTCATCAGTCCGCCAAAGAACACGATCGTGGCGATGAAAGTGCCGAACATCATCTGCAGCAGGTTGATTTTGTACCGGTCTAGGAAATTTTCGACGATCCCGACGACCCCAATGTTGTCCGGCGCCATTGCGAATTTTTCTGGCACAATGCAGCGCGCAAAAACTGTAAAAACTTTCTCCAAAAACCGAAAACTTGCGGAACATTCATTCTAGAGCTGGCAAAAAATTCGATTTACTTATCGATGCATCGATAATTACGTTGTTTCTGTAACATCGATTTGAAATAAACAAAATTTGAAAATAGGCGCGAAATTGTGTTGTAATTTTAAAAGTTAGCTTTTCTGATTTTTTTACTTATACCCGTTTTAATAATTATGGTTACAATTAATTGAGTACTTTTCTACAAAATGTTCCTTTATTTGATTGCCTTCATTTTCGAACGGCAAAGTAAATTGGCTACAGTTTCATGCTTGCATATGTATATAAATTGATAATTACGATATGGTTTGTCTATTCGGCAGGTGTGAGTATTTATGCAATTGATATAACGCTCCTCGATATTGCTTATTGAGATTTCCAAGGTTCAGGGCCAACGCCTTTCAGCAGTAGAGCACTCGGGGAGATGTTTGTCAAATATCCACTCCGTTTCGTCCTAGAGTGCCGCCCTTGTACGGCGGAGGTTTGGGACGGGCGTAAATGCTGGAGTTTCCACAGTCCAACTGGTAAAAGCTGTTGTTGGGACTGCGAATGAAATGCAAATATTTAATAATGAAAATTTGTCTCAATATTTTGCTTACCTTTGAGAACGCATGCTGATATTGTCCAGAAGAAAATTCGGGTCCTTAAGGTTCTTTAAGGTAGTAATTGGTTGATTGGACTTGCTATCCGAACACTGGACCATCTGAACCGTGGACGCCATGGGATAATCCGAATTTGAAGAACTGAAAAATCAGTTTCACAATTAATTTCGATGAAACAAATCAAAGTGGGGGAAATACAAAAAAAAGTATTTATATTGGCAAATCACCTCTCAGATCCATCATCCGCCTCAGAATCGTTTGACGCGCTTGGCGCACAGGACTCTTCGCAGATGTGGAAAATGTTGGCAAAGAAAAACTCAGAATGCGGATCGGAACTGAAGAGCAATGAAAAACACAATGTTACACAAATTTTATAAAAAGTAAAATGAAACAAATTAATTTTGTATCTCCCCAAAGGAGAAACTCACAACTTATTGTGCTGGAAGCACAAAACAGCGGATAACATCCCGATTAAGATGGCGAAAATCATGCCCGGAATGGCGAAAGCAAAGGCGAATTCATCAATGTAATTGCGCACGGGCACATCCTCCCTGGCGATGCCAATCCAGCGATCCTCCTGCTGCCTCTGATCCTCCGTCATCTGTTGTTCACTTTGCTTGCCGCTGTGGTAGAGGATTTCCGTGGGCGATTCCATGCCCACCATGCGAAAGGCGCACCAGTCCAGCTTAAAGCCCACATTCTCGAAGATTTTTTGGACGGATGTCCGCTTATAAGTGCAGGATGGCAGCTTATACAGAGGACGCACTTCCTCCTGGAGCTCCATCAGTCGGGGTGAGAATTGGGCAAAGCTTCCCACATGGACAATGACTCTGTAATGGAATAAATAGTATGTAACAGTAATAGTATAATAGTTTTACAGAAATCTACAGAGGTTTAAAACCATTTTAAAAATGTGCTCAAAAGTATGCTGTGAAAAATATATTGAATATGTAGAAAATCCGAATAAATTGTAACATACTTTTAGACAGCCCTTTTTTAATGAATTAAATTCTTAAGAGATTTATTGATTACTAGCTAAGTATATATACGTACCCCTCACGCTGCTGTGGTCGCAGTGGAAGACGCCCACCCATATTCACAGCCGATTCCATGAAGACCACACTCAGGTCCTCCCTACTGTTTGGCCACAAATCATTCCGGAATATATTGCGTAAGTTCTCCACCCTACCGGGATCCATAAAGTGGACCCAATTCAGATTGTTGATCTTCATCTGCACAACATTGGGCGTGGGAAACTTGTGGGCCACGAACATTGAGACCACAACGTGACGGGTTTCGTAATTCTGGCGATTCAGGGCCACCACATCCAGACTGAGATCCTTTCCGGCCGCCGACTCTGGCGGAGTTCCGTACAGAAATCCGGCATGGTATTCATGACTGTACATATATCGCATCCAACTGGGCAAATCGGGATAGCTCCTCAAGGAGGGTCTATAGCGAAACTGCTGGCTAATCACCTGGTGTGTCCAATTGAAGAGTTGCGGTTCGATTTTATACGTAAACAGCTCCCCCACATTTGCCTGTAATTTTATCGCCTCCACTTCGTTGTAGATTAAAGCTATTACCGACACTATAAAGCTTAAAAACTTCATTTTGTTTTTACTTCTTCGTGGCAATTCACAAGCACATTTTAATTGACTATAAACAAATTGTTATTCCGACCAGACTCATTGAAAAATTCCGATAGTGTGTATCTGAATGGGAGAGGCAATATGACGATATTCTCCCAACTGCTTATTTTTTATTTATAAAGAGAGCGCCTGCGCAGTTTAGTTTTAACATCAAGACACCTGTGACTAAGGTCAGTGCTGAGCTTTTTATTTCCATTACATCTGATTGGAGGTTTAAAAGTAAGACAACAATTTTCTATAAAATATATTTAAGAGAACCGAAGCTTACTTTTTTTCTTGTTTTTCTATACTTCGTTGTCTGATTGGCAAATGAAATGATGTACACTTTGTACCATTAGATAAGGGAACAAAGTCCCTTCGGTAAAATTAATTGGTCCACCCTCTTCAAAAACGGTAGGTCCTCAGTTTAACACTTGCCCTTCTCGGCCTGATCGTTGAAGTCAAGCCAGTAAGAAGCATTTTCCTTTAGCTGCGCCGAGATGGCTGCAAGTTCCCCTCCGTTTTTGATCGGAGCCAAATCCGTATTAAGAGGGTCTACTTGTTGTGACGCCATTTTGGCCAGGAGCACCTGCATGCCGTCCTTTAGCACCAGAAGCAGATCTTCCATTTTTGCCTGGAGCAACTGCAGTTGTTCTTCCGTCCGGTTAAGTCTACCCTGGAGCTCCGCTTCGATTCCATCCAACCTGGTACAGATCTGTTGATTATCGTCAAAGAGCGGTTGAAGTGCATACAGACAGAATGCGCCACATTGACTTGGTGCATCCTCGAGAAGGCACACCGAACGTCTGATACTTTCAGAATTGACGAGTACTCCCTGCACATCAAGGATAATGAGAGAGCTTAGGAGAACAAGTGTGAAATTCAGCATTTTGAACTATTATAACTAATTGCAGAGAATTTTTAAGCGTTACTGAAATTAAGCTATGATTGAAGCAACGATGAAGCCTCCAAATTCGGTGATAAGGGGCTTTAGCCTTACGTGGCCGTTCAAATTTATTTTTTGTTAGCCGAAACCATAAAAAAAACCAGACATAAGAGTATAAACACTAGGGTGGACCATGTTTGTATGAAAATTGTAAGATCCTACTCTAACCCGCTTATAGTATGAGCATAGCTCCATTTAAGGCACATCATAAGACATTATTAGGATAAAACATCAGTTAGAGTCTGCGCATTGGATTTAAAGTTAAAGATTTTAAATACAAGACATTGGTTAAAAATGTGTTCTAACTGACGTTTGGAATACCCGAATATACAATTTTTTTATTGCCTTAAATGGTAGTATTTCCGAAAATTGAAATCAGAGATAATCCCTTAGCAACACTTTAGTATCTGTATTTAATTATATGTAAATATATTTAATTCCAGGAAAACCAATTTTTAATATTACTATAAAAAAATAATACATTTTTTATATTTTATTTTGGAATTACAGTTTTTATTTTTAAAAAATACAAAAAAAAAAAATACATACATTCGGAAGACATTGGAAAGATTAACATAGCTTTATTGTTTTTAATAGTGTACGTATAAATATAGAGTATTTTATTTTCATAATAGATACAAGAGTATATAAACATTGCTATTTGTTTTTCTATACTACGTTGTCTGCTTGGCAAATGAAATAATATAGTTCTGTACAGTCGTTTTCAAAAAATGTATCTTCATACAAGTCAATACAATATCTAGTGTGATCCTCTTCGCCAGGTTGACTTACAAGCTTGAAAGGCGTCGCGGGCTTGCCGGAGGCCAACGATACCCAGTTGCCCTTCTTGGTCTGAGCTTTAATGCCAAGCCAGTAAGAAGTATCTGTTTTTAGCTCCGCCGAGATGACTTCGAGTTCCTCTCCGTTTTTGATCGCAGCCAAATATCCACCCATCCTACGACAGATTCCTGCAGCCACAGGCCAAGTAACCATTTTATGATACTCTATGTAAAAGAACCTAGTGCCGATTTTTTTGAACCTCGGGTGTACTTTTTGTGCCGCCATTTTCGACAGCAGCTGCATGCCGTCCTTTAGCACCAGATGCAGATCTTCCATTTTTGCCTGGAGCAACTGCAGTTGTTCTTCCGTCCGGTTTAGTCTGCCCTCAATACCATCCAACCTGGTACTGATCTGATAATTATCGTCAATGAGCGGTTGTAGTGCAGCCAGACAGAATGCGCCACATTGACTTGGTGCATCCTCGAGAAGGCACACCGAACGTCTGATACTTTCAGAATTGACTAGCACTCCTTGCAATCCAAGGATTATGAGAAAGCTTGAGAAAACGAAATCGACATTGCCCATTTTAAATTATTATAACTTATTGCAGAGAATTTTTAAGCCGTACTGAAATTAAGCTATGATTGAAGCAACGATGAAGCCTTCAAATTCGGTGATAAGGGGCTTTAGCCTTACGTGGCCGTTCAAATTTATTTTTTGTTAGCCGAAAACCATAAAAAAAAACCAGACATAAGAGTACAAACATTAGGGTGGACCATGTTTGTATTTCCGAAAATTGAAATCAGAGATAACCCCTTAGCAACACTTTAGTATCTGTATATAATTATATGTAAATATATTTAATTCCAGGAAAACCAATTTTAAATATTACTATAAAAAAATTATTTATATATTTATTTATATTTATATTTTAAAAATTATTTATTTACTCTTTAAAGGTTATTAGATTTTAAGTAATAACAAAAAACATGCCACCTGAAAAAAGCATTTAAAAAAGGGTCTTTAAAAAGAAGCAGATATTTTTCCGTTTAAAAATGGTCACTGGATTCTAGCCTTCTTTACTGCGATAGTCTTTTTATCGATACAAGCAGTCACGGGCGAGCGAGTCACTGGATTCAGAGAAGTGCCATCTCTAAGTTAAGTGAACAACCCTAATCAGCTGCCTCGCAATTCGGGCTAAAACTCTTAGAATTCAATACGTGGCTCCGTTTATCACGCACAAATTTGGAGAAGTGATGTCTGCTGACAGGTAGCAGGTGCACCTGTTCAATTACACTATCCATTTAAATAGCCCCACGATGTGGACTTGTCTGTGTCAGCTGTGTTTCTATCTGCTCTCTGCGATTGCAGTTGCGGCCTTGTCGGTACGTAAATTCATAAACACTCTCATATCATTATCGTTCTATTGATAACCGCCTATTCCGATCGCTCAGATTGTGGCTTTTGTGCTCTACAAGACGAAGCCCTATCCCAATATCAAGAGGCACAAGGATGAGGAGACATTCCTGGACCCGCACAGCATCAAAACAGTGGCTTTTCCCAGCCTCGAGGATTCCCCAAGTTTGGAGCTCAGTGTCATTGTGCCAGCTTACAATGAGGAGCAGCGATGTATGTTGGCTCTTTTGATGAATCACATTCCACTTTTTATCTATCCCCTTTTATGATATATTGTCGACATTCAAACTGCTTTTCCACGACGTTTAAACTTTTAGCAGGCATCTCAAAAATGTTTGTAGGCGAATGCCCAGATTCACAAAACAATTGGCGTACAATTTGAAATGTTTGTACTATATGTATAAAATTTTTAGATTTTAAATCAGGATTTTAATTTATTAAATGAAAAGTTAAAGTTTTTAGATGCATTTGAAAGCATATTATTGTAATGTGTAATTTGCTAACTGATTTGTTTATGCCAATCTAAAGTTCAGGTGTGAAAAGTTTGATGTCAATATGTTTTTTTTCCAAATTTTCTTCAAAGTTTAAATATAATATTATTGTTTGCAATTCCAGTAGTTTGAGCATAATTAATAACCACATGACTATCAACTTTCAGTGCCTGCCATGTTGGACGAGTGTTTGGCCTTCCTGGAGCAAAAATCTGGAGGTAATCCCAGCTTCACATACGAGGTGATTGTGGTGAGTGATGGCAGCCAGGATGCCACAGTTCCAGTGGCACTGGGATACTCGAAAAAGCACGGTGCAGAGAAGGTTCGTGTTCTGGAACTCATCGAAAATCGGGGAAAAGGAGGAGCCGTTCGCATGGGCATGCTGAGCGCACGAGGTCGTAATCTACTCTTCGCCGATGCAGATGGAGCCACCAAGTTCCCCGACTATGACAAACTGGAGGTGGCCTTGAAGCAATTGTCACCGGAGTGGCGAGACGATGGTATTGCCATAGGATCAAGGGCTCACCTGGAAAACGATGCGATCGCCACGAGGAGTTTTTTTAGGTAAGAAAGGACAAAAAGTCGAGCAAAAGTTTTTCGAAACTGAGTACGTTATAAATTGATACCCTTGCAAGGTTATATCAAGCTTTATTATTTACAATATTACTGAAAAATACTTTTCCACACAGAACCATTTTGATGCACGGCTTCCATTTCCTTGTCTGGCTTTTTGCCGTGCGTTCCATCCGCGATACCCAGTGTGGCTTCAAGTTATTCACCCGAACAACGGCCAGAAAACTCTTCACCAGTCTTCATGTGGAACGCTGGGCCTTCGATGTGGAGCTGCTTTACTTGGCCGAGAGTTTAAAGGTGCCCATGTCCGAGGTGGCCGTTCGATGGACCGAAATCGATGGCTCCAAATTGACACCGTTCTGGTCGTGGCTACAAATGGGCAGGGATCTGCTCATGATTTGGCTGCGCTATCTGGTGGGCGCTTGGAGAATTGCCTCCATTCAGAAGAAGGAGAACTGAAGTGGAGGTGGAGGGGATCTCAGTCCCAATATTAACTAGCATTTTATGTCGAAACTGCTTCGCTGTCGTGCATTACCAAAACTCTTTATAACTCTCAACTCTATTTTTGTAGGCATGTTAAAGTGTAATGAATACTAACTAGTTAAGTACTTAAGTACAGTATTTTTTCAAATAAAAAAAGACTTCTTTGGGCAACGAAGCTGCGAATAAGATGGCACACGAAAACTTATTTTAGAATTTTAAAAACTTAACTTTCTCAAGTAGTATTTTAAATATATAACTAAGTATCAATGTATGAATTTCTTTAATAAGAGTGGCTGACTGAATAACTTGGGACTCGGAAAGGAATAATATCATAAGAGACAACATAAAAGGGGACTAAAAAGATAGGCTTAAATGTGCGTAAGTAAACCGATTTTCTGAATTCCTTTTTAAAATAAACTTAAAACAAATGTTGACTAATCTGTTTTTCTATTATTTAGAAATAACAGTTTTGCAGAAAAAATTTATAATAATTTACGCGGGAAATTAAAGTTAAATGAATATTTTATGGTATATTGTCGAATGTGCTTGGTATATTTTACATGGGTAAATCCAATTGGCTGTGGTATTTGTCTACACTAAAAACTCGGTCACACTGAAGCGAAGTTGCGGCGGCGCGTTTGTTTCGGTTCATATAAAATCGTTATTATTTAATTATAGTTACTAATTGTAAACAAACTGAGGAAAGAGAAGAACAGCTGGCACTTGAACATACACCACAAGTTCTGGTTAAGCCACAAAATCGTGAAAGTGCAACTGCAACAGGAGGAATAAAAGTGAAAAATTCCAGGAATCCTACGTCGCCTGTTGCTCTCTTTTCTTTTTTGCGGGTGTGTGCGGGTGTTTGTGCGTCTGTGTGAGCGTCTCAGCTGTGCCTGGCGATATTAAATTGTTTATAAAGTTTTTTTTCGCAGTATGCAAATGCTGAACAAGCCGGTCGGTTGATTTTTCGTATTTACTCTCAACGCCGCGCAAACGAAAGTGATTTGTTGCTATTTGTTACTCAGTCTGTCTCCAATTGGAGAATTGTGATTTGGTGTTGTTGTTATGCGGTCGGGTCATTGCTTCAAATTGCTCAATCAACGGCACTTGTGGTAAGCACTGGCACAGTTATCAATTGTATTCCTTCTTTTGCTCTCTCTCTCTCTTTCTCTTTGCCCTGCTTTATCGCTATCGAATTTCGTCTTTTCTTTGTTTTATCAGCACTAATTCGATCGCCTTGCAAGCTGCGCTTGAAACTATTGGATTCTCATTAGGAACTGATAAGAAAAAAGGTCTCTAAATTCTGTGAATTCTTATCAGACACTGCAGCTGTAATTCTTACTTGAGTAGCATTTGTTTGTTCTCCTCTTCCAATTGAGAACACAATTTGTAACGCAGAAAATAAATCAGTGTCAATTTAAGCGATTATGCTGCCGAGCACCATTTCCAAATAATTCCAAGTGAGACTGAGCAACACTTCCTTTTTAAATTCTTTATAAAAATGAGGAAGTTTTATTACAAAGATAGGAACAAAGATAATAGAAAAGAAATTTACACATTTTCTTTGGCTGTGTATGAAACAAAGCTAATTGAAAGTTATTCAAAACATTTTTTTAAATAATGAAACTAACAAATTTTATTTACCAAATATACAAAAAATCTTTTGCAATCAAAGATTATTATTTAAATTTAATATTTATTATTTCTTTTTTTTCTGAAATTAAAACAGAATTTAGAACGAACTAAATTGAACTTAAAAGATACTTCTTATAAAAAATATTTAAATTTATTAAAGCTTATTGGCAAATCAACCAGAATAACGCTTGATTTCCAATTAGACTGAAATTCTTGCTAAGGTCGCAGATTGTCCTCTCTTCTTCTTCATCGTTTTACGTCTAGAAAAAGTGCGACAATAAACAAAAATTAAATGCAGAGAAGAATACAAACTAAGCGCAACCATTTGCGTGGCGAAATTCAAAGTCAAAAACGAGTTGCCAGGCCACGCCCGCTATATGGGTATATGTATCTCCATATGAACATATGTACATATACGTTTAAACATCCATATATACGTATGTGTGCAGCCCAGGTCTTTGGGTCTCTCGCTCCACCAAAAAGATTTATGTACACATTGCGCCTTCTGCCTTTTTGCCATCCTTTTTTCCTTTTTGTTCCTCGGTCCGTGTTTATTTTATTACTTATGGCCATGCGCGTTGGGCTCAAGATTCTCTCGGGCCCCTCTTTCTCTTAACACCCCCACTCCGCCCCTGTTTTTTGTAGCGGCTGTGCTTGATTAAAGTGAGGGGGCTGGGTGGGCGGAGGAGCAATATCGGTAGAAGAAGAGGAGTAGTTTAGGTGATCCAGCCAGTTGTTGTTGTCGCTCGAGCATTTGTCGCTTTTGTTTTGTTTCCCTCTTTTTCTGTCGAGTCTGTTCATGTTCTTCAAAAAGCCAGGGGCGGATTCGAGGACCCGCAGGATAACAAAAATGTTTTATAAGAAATCGAGCAACATAATAGTTTAAAACTTGGGTCTTATTCTACTGAGAGAATAATATAGAATTTAATAATGATAAAATACTTATTTACTAATTTTTGCAACTTAAATAAATATTAGTCAAATATAAGTATGTAGGTATTAAATAATTTGATTTCTGAAGTTTTAAAAACGTTTCCTGCATTGTTTTTGGTACAATAAAAATGTATTTTCGTCTTTAATTATCGACTTACCCGCACTCCGCTCCTGTGTCCTTTTCTGCCTCTTGCTAGCTTTTGTTGAAGTGTGATAATTCCCGAGATCGTATTGTGGCTTTTTATCTTGCTGGAGCCTCAGCTTCAACGAGCCGTTTGTTTGTGTACACGTGGGTAAAAAAGGTAAACGGGATGAGGAATATTCCGCTTTGGGGGCTAATCCTTTAAACCGCTGTGTGCGACTTCAAGGTCAGCTAGTTATCTCTGTACAAGTATGTATATGCATATAGTGTATGTATATCTCCTGCTAGTCTCAGGGGCTAATTAATTGTCCGTTTAATCGTTCGATTTGCTGCTTAACTTGTCTGTCCACTCTGTTCCACCTTTTCCACTCTGCTCTTCTCGGCATCCGATCTGTAAAAGCATAAATATATTTTCCCCTACTTTTCGCTATCCCATTCTGATTGATATCAGACGGAACGCCCACGGCAATTAGTCAACCAGGTAACTCCCAATGCTCCAATGTTTCAGTGGTTCAATGTTCCACGGTCAATGCCTTGGGGGGGCGCTCAAAAGATTCGCACGCCCACGCCCCCCAAAAATAGATTTATGGCCTTGTCTTCAGAGTGTGTTGTAACCAATTTTTTTTTGTGTGAGCGCTTCTAATTTTAACCCTCTGTATACCAATGCGACAATAATTCTGACGTCCCACAAAATGGCTCATAAAACTGTTTAAAAATCTTTATTTAGCTTATTGGAACATTGTGTTATCAAATCATATCGAAAATACCATTTCAAAGCATAGTCTAAACGTCATTATTTGTGTGTCTTTTCAAAACAAAATGTTTTCTCAAACTTTGGTATATCTTAACCTTTGGTTACCTTATACTCAGATAAAACAAAGGGTTAACCATTTTTTTTGATTCGCTGTAAATATTAACATAGATTTTTGGTAGGCTAATATTTTTATTTATTATGTATTATCTTGTTTTGCAGACACTTTTTCTTGTCGAGATGTTGGGCACAAAGCATCGAAATCCACATGTCAATGGCAGCATCAAGTCATCATCATCGCTCCGATCGAGCAGCAAATCCTTTCAGACCAAAATGGATAGAATGTCTGAAAGGCTGTTTGACGTCGTCAAAAGCGGATCGATGGTCAAAAGGGCCCAAAACAAGAAACGATTCACTCCGGTAAATTATAAACATCGATGGTTTGAGTTGACCAAACGAACTTTCTGCTATTTCGATGTGGAAAATGTGGAGGTGAGTCATTTAATTATTGAAATGCCAACAGGTTTCATTTGGTAACACTAAATCCCTTATTTGAATGAATCAACTTAATCTGATTTGAATTAGCGAAAACAAAACGAAAATGTAGATAAGATCTCAGTAGTAAATTTGTATTTTAATCTGATCAGTAGTATTAATAAACTCAAATTTTGCAGATAAAATAGTGGGCAAATAAAAACAGTGTTGACCAAAAAAACCCAATAGGAAAAAAATCTTTGATTAGTATTCCTATAGTTATTTAAAAATATTTTGAAATACAGAACAAAATTATTTTTCAAGAATTCAGCTCCGAAAAAAAACAAATAATGTACTTCTTGCAACAATAAACTAAAAGAGCGGAAATGATTTTTGGAATACGTTTATTTCATTTGACTTATCGAACTAGGAGGTATATTCGTTTCCAGGGAACGGTGATTGCTTGTCCAGGTCATTGGTTGTGGAAGGGACTACACAAGTCCGTGTTTGATTGCCTCGCTCTTGAAACAGGCGCCGTAGGTTTCGGCGGCCTCGCAGTGATCATCCGGCACACTGATGGCAGAACAGGTGTCAGCGATCTCGACGGCCATCTTTAGCTTGGCAGGATCGTTGCCGGTGTACTGCTTGGCCTTCTCCTGTCCGGCTGCCTTATCCATCTTGCCATTGGCGTCCATTACTCCACACTTCTTCATCACACAGGCACGCAGGCACTTGCCAGCATAGGTGGATGCGGGCATCCTCTTGGCCACCTCCTGCATGTCGGCATCGGTGGCACCCACTTCCGGCATACAGGCTTCGGCTGACTCCATGAACTTAGCCATGACCTCCTTCTCGTCAAAACCGTGCACCAGGCCGATGGCCAGAAGGATGGCGGCTGCCACGATGAACAAGACTGGGGAACGCTGCATGTTGTGTGTTGTGTCTGTGGTTGCGGACTGAACTGCTATCTGCAGATGACACTCCCGCTTTTATACCCGCAACGGGAACTCGCTCGGCTGTGAAATAATATGGTAGTACATCGTTTAGCGAACTTTGCAATGGTCGGCTAATTGGCCAAAACGCGATCGTTATTAGATTTTTTCCACTTAATGGAATAGCTAACAAAATCGAGCCGGTCGACAAGCCCAGAGCAATAACTGGTGACCGCCCCCCTGAGACACGCACATCCGCATAACCAGTCGCCGGATATTAACAAGTCTTTCCCAATGTCATCCCGAAACACAATGACTGGATGGGTGCCTTTTAATTATCAGAGCTTTACCATAAAAATATCTGTATCATTATTAATTGAAAATCTGGGGAGGGAACCTCTGAAAAGTTTTATAATCATTTGTAGAGCGCGATTTATGCAAAGAATCTAAATGTCCAAATGCATTAAATTGTACAATTTTTTTTATCAAAATTCAGAAACGGTTTACTGTTTCAGATTGAATAAAGGTTACAAAAACAAATCATATATCTGCCGATATCTGGATAACCTACCATTAGGACATGTTTAATAAAAATCTTAAATGATCAGAGTCCCAAAGTACATCTTACAAGTGAGACTATCAATGTAAACGATTTGGTTGCATTTAATTACACTCAAAAGTATGTACACAAATTGATTATACTTTTAAGAATAAGCTTTTTACATTTTAATAGTTCTAATCATGAAGGTATTTGAAAATCAATATAAATTTATTTAAAACTATTTTAAAATTATATGGTTAAGATCTTCTAGATCTCGTTATCCCAAATCTTGGCTGACAATACCACTTCTTAAGATTCGAGAGACTGGGAACTGAGAACTGGGAAAAGGATGCATTCAGAAGGACCGTTTCATTATTCATGTTCAAGTGGGCGTCTCATCTTGTCGTCATGGTTTCGTCATTTATTGTGTCGTTATTGCGGCACCTACCGGCTCGCAATTTTCACCCATCCGCCGCCGTGCGGCAAAAGTTACTCTGCTCCGGCAACCGGCTGCTTTCGTTTCAAAACAAATGTCGGTGTCGCAAGTGCCCGCTTTTTCGGTTTGGGAAAAGTCTCCAGACTCAGTCGGCTTCGGGCATGTGCCATCCAGTCTCCGGCTGGAAACTAACCACTGTGGGGGATGGAAAATACACACACAAATAAGCAGCTGTTGGCCGGCACAATGCCCGAAACCCACCCTCAAAGTCCTTGGGTGTAGACTGGGTTGACTGGGCGTCCTATCCCGTTATGCCGTTCCAATTGGAAGCGGAGTTTCCCTTGAGTTTCCCTTGAGTTTCCCTCTGAATATCCTGGATGAAGTTCAGTAACCGTGGCAGGAGTTTCTATCCTGGCTTCGTCGCGTGTGGACGTGCGTTAGATTTTCGCTTAATTCATTTACCAACTCGCCGACCGCTGTAATAATGGTTTTCAATAACTATCCCATTGATATTCGTGACACTTAAACATATATAAAAGTTTATTTAACCCTTTTTAAAAGTTAGTTATTTGTCATTTCATTAAAAAAAAAAACAAACAGTTTTCTAATGCGCCGGCTGCTACCCTTGAAAATTTGATTGGTTTTCAGCGGCAAACTGAAACCACCCTTATTTCTCATATTACTCACTATTTAAACAAATTGTGTTTATGTTAAAAGCAAAATATAAACCATATAGATGATTGAAAGAGTGCAGCGTTAGCTATAGATTGCCGAAAAGAAACCACCCAAATAAAACATTTAAATCGCAAATCCCTTCCATGGCGTCGTTGGAAAATTTTTTGCGAATCTAACCGAAAGCCACCGAAAAAAAAGAGAAGAAAACGCCCCACCCAAGGCAAAAGTTTTTCAAGTGTATCCAGCTGCCTCTGTGTGCGTGCGTGGTGCGTTTGCGTGTGTGTGTGTGCGTGAGTCCCAGTGCTTGTGTTGTTGTTGTTGTTTTCGCTGCTTTTGCCGCACCCCAAAAATTTCGAATTTCGTGTGCCTGTGCCTAAATTAAAAGGATTATCCTGACGCCAAAAAAGGACGCATTTGTAGCCCTTGGTAAGCAGCGGGATGTGGGAGAAGGATGAACTCCTCGGGGAGAAACTATAGTTTTTTATGCAAACTTTGACTATAGTAATTGAATTAGATTATAGAGTTTTGTTCTGGGGATACGCCTAAAATTATGCAATAAATATACATATTACGGTTGATTGAATTTAAAAGGTCTAAACAATTCTTTTATTATTCACTTATTATGGAAATGTTATAATAGCAATTCAATTTGAATAAAAATACTAAGATATTGAAACTCATGAAAATATAAAAGGGTAACACCAATAACAATGCAAAATCCCACAACTATTTACTTTCTTTCGTTAAAGATGTAAAACAAATCTTAAAAAGTTCTGATTAAGTTTGGTAATGTGGGTAAACAAATTGATATGCAAACTTCAAATGCAATTAAAATAAAAACTAAAGTGTATAGATTTTCCTTGTAAATATTATAATAAGGCATTTGCTTTGCTTGCACCTTAATTGAACATAATCTAAGCTCCTTTCAAAATTAAGGAGACAACCTACAACCGGGTGTCAATCACTCTTGTCACTCTATCCCATTATTTTGCCATTCATTTATTCATTTCGCTGGTTTTCCTTTGCCACCACCGCCACTTTTCTTTTTGTCCTTGCTTTGAGGGCTGCTGCGGTGATCGGGGGTTCGATGAACTCGTGTAGAAAATGTTCATTAATTGATTGATTCGCGGTGGCTTCTTTGTGTGGTCCGGTCCCACCGCCCCTTTTGGAAAGTTGAGTTGAGGATATACCCAGCTGCTTGGTTCCTGCCTTGTAATCCACTGTCCGAGCCAGTCATGTTTATTGGGGTCAGACCCTTGGACGCAGAGCGTGCTGATTAATGGGTAGCCAGCAACAAGCTGAGCCGTAGCCATATAGTCATTGCACTCCTACACTAGCAAAAACAAAACATTAAGTGTTTTTTTTTAAATAATTTGTCAAAGCGAGTTTGTCATTTATTTCTTTCCATTTTAGAATAAATGTGCTATAAATTTGTAATTAATTGCTTTATTAAAAAAGAATGCTGTAGAACTTTATTTATTTTTCCAGGGTGTAGCCAATGCAATCCCGTCCAGGCTTCATCATCATCAACACAGCACCACCATCGTTGTCGTAGTTGTGTCATTAACCTGTCATAAAAATCGCAGCTTGGGCCAGGTCCCAGTTACAGTCGCAGCAGTCCCACGAGTGCTAAAAAATAGTAAAGTGAAGTGAAGTGAAGTGTGTGGGGACCATCCTCTATGGCTCACCGCCGTGGTATGCTAATTGAACCTGGACTTTTTGTTTGCCAACACTTTGCAGTTCTCTACGCTCAACGCTCTCCATGCCAATGCGTTCGTTCTGCTCTCTAATACATTTCGCACAGATTAAGGCTGTAAATAACAATTTTCCAAAAGGAGGCGGGTAGCCAATGCAATCCGCGTTAAATAGAAAAATGAACAAGGGGCGAAGTGTGAATAACGAATGTGGGAATGCACTTTCGCGGAGAGTTCTATATATATATATATATAGAACAATAAAGAAATGGAAATAAAGCCTATTTATGTAACACCATGATTAGAAAAAAAAATTGTTTAACAAAATCTATATTTATACAAAATAAATTAAATTTATTTTGATATATATCTATAAATTAAATGAAGGTACAGCACCTTTAAAATGTATTTGTACGTAAAGTTAGCCCCCCTTTTAAACGCTTTCCCTATCAATAATAATTTCCTTGGCTACCTATGGCTTGATGTATTTATAACTCTGGCAGATAAATATATAATGTGCCATACCCTTTACCCATATCTATTTCCGCGCCAATGCCCAATGCCCTTCGGCTAATGGAGGTGCCATTTGCTTGGGCATGAGTTCCTTGCCACCTTGGCTCGTAAATGTAAATGCTGTAAATGCTTTCCCCATTATTGATGTTGGCCTGTGAGAATGTGCGAGAGGACTAATACTAATCCTGTCCGGTAGCCACTTTGAACATGAACGCTTCTTTGGAGCAAAGAACAATTTTTTTATGACTATTCGGGGAGTTATTTTCCAGCTTTTTACGACTCGCACTTTGGAGTTTGTTGGCCCAGACTAGAGCTGCTGATCAATCTCCCACAATTGTGAGGCATTCTCAATTAGACATTTAAATTTATCACTTTGTCGGTCGCCGCAACCTCTTTCGTATTATTCCCCGCTTTTAAGCCGCTTCGGTGAAGCAGAAATATGTCTCTGGTGGGGATTATTACTCATCGCATGCATTTTAAAATTCTTCACGAATTGACACCTTTGGAAGGCCTCCGTCGAATGGCTTAAAGCTGATTTCGTAGAATTACAAAACCCGCATCGCTCTTTCTTTCCCCCCTCTTTCCAATGCTGACAAATTAGCGAGCGAGGCTGAATGTTTTTTTTTTTTGTTATTTGTTTGGGTGGTCCCGTTTCCAATCGTTGTCTTTATGCCTTTATAAATCTTCACGCTGCATTTTATTTAACACGAAATTGGCGCCAAAGCCAAAATGTTTTTGATAAGCCTCGTCTTCTGTTGTTTTTATTTTTTGGGTTGGGGGAATCTTGACTCTGACATATGTCGTATGTCGTGTGTTTTTCAGATCCCAAAACGAGCGGATGGCATGACTCTGCCCTCGATATTATATTCCTGCGCCTTCGAAGACAACCTGACGTCTTTTGCGGTTGGCAGTTGCAGTTGCAACCGCAGGCTAAATGACTGAAAGGTTTAAGCCTGATTACAGTTACTTGTTTAAGATTGATACCCCTTGATTTGTGGGGTATGTTAGCATAATTTGAAATAAGAACAGACAAATAATTGCAATAAAAATAAAAAGATCATATTAATATGTAATATGTGCATAATAACCAATTTAAAAAGTTTATTCTTAAGTAAGTTTTGAACAAAATAGTTTAGTATAATTTTATATAATATAAAATATTAT